AGGATACATACTGATGATTCCAATATATAGAGTTTAAAAACGCCAAACTAATCTGTAGTGTTAGAAGTTAGGATATAGTGACCTTTTGGGAAGAATAAAGGAGTAATGATTGGAAGGGATGGTGAGGGGACAAGAGTTGCTGGAAATGCTATGTGTACTGGGTATAAGGTATGTTCACTGTGATAATTCATTGAACTGAACAGTCTTGATCTGTGTGTACTTTTCTGTACATATATATCATCTTAAAATATCATTAAAGTATCTTAAATATGTATGTGTATATATATATATATATATAAGATTCATTTTCTGTTTTAGTCCCTTGTTTCTCAGTGCAATGTTCTGATAAAATATTCAGACAAAACAAAGTTATTCTTGGCGGTTCTTTTCAAAAGAACTGCAGTAGTTGCTACAACCTGATTTTTTTTTTTTTAATAAGTAGGCCCAAACAGTTCCAGGGCTTCTATTTAAAGTCATTCATGCTCAGAATAAACCCAAAACAGATATTATTTAATTTAGATCTGTAATTATGGCTGACTAATAAAATAATAAGTATTATAGAAAGTTACAAGTGTTGTAAGTTGGAAGGCATTGTGTTATAGTGGAAAAAGTACAGACTTTGGAGTTGAACAGATATGGGTTCAAATTATGACTATATTACTAATTTGAGTAACTTTTTTCCTTCCTTCCTTCATCAGTAGAGGTAATAATATCCATTTCAAAAGGTTGTTGGAGGGTTAAATGAGATAGTCTATAAGTGACTGGTAGTCAAATCCCATTCCCCTCCTCACACAGTTTTGGGGCAGAGGGCAAAAAGATTTGGGGAGTATATAAAGATAGTTGTAGGTAGGTGGGTAAAAATAAGTATAACTTGCTAAAGATAACTAAGGTGATGATGGTAAGGAAAATTCAGTCTTTAGATTATAACCAGTAAGGACTGAACAACATCTAACTTGGAAACATGTGAATCATTATCAATATTAAGAGTTAATAATGCTGCTTTGGCACATAAGCAATGGAGGACTGTTGCATGTATGACAACTTAAAAGTATGTTAAGTTAGATTATAATCAATTTTATTTGGAAGGCCAAGGTAGGAGAATTACTTGAGGACAGACGTTCAAGACCAACCTGGACAGCATAGCAAGACCCTATCTCTACAAAAAATAAAAAAATTAGCCGGGCATGGTGGCACATGCCTGTAGTCCCAGCTACTCAGGAGGCCAAGGCAGGAGGATCGCTTGAGCCCAGGAGTTTGAGACTGCAGTGAGCTATGATCAGGCTCTCTAGCCTTAGGTGACAAAGCCAGACTCCCAGCTCTGAAAAATAATAATAAGTCACTCTCAGATGATTCTGTTTTAGGAATTATAGAATCACAAAGCAAAGAATTTTTTTTTTTTTAGAAACTCAAAGTATTGTTTTTTTCCCCCAAAGTATTTATTGTTTAATTGTAGATACTAGGTCCGAGAAGAACTTCCATTTCCTCATTCTTTAAATATTTTTCTCCAAACTCAATTTTCCAAACGTTCTCCAAGTTTCTCAAAGATAGTTGATGATATCATCTTCAACCACAACATGTATCTAAACCACACAGGTGTGTTATAGGTGTCTCTAAGAACTGTTTTACTAGAAAATTTAAGAGGTTAGCAACTATGTACCTCATTTTTACTTCTCTTGGGTTTTTGGGGTTATTTGTTTTTTTGAGACAGAGTTTTACTTTGTTACCCAGGCTGGAGTGCAGTGGTTTGATCATAGCTCACTGCAGTCTTGAACTCCTGGGCTCAAGTGATCCTCCTTCTCGCCTGAGTCTCCCAAGTAACTGGGACTCCAGGTGCATGCTACCATGCCTGGCTAATTTTTTTTATTTTTTGTAGAGACCAGGTCTCTGTGTTGCCTAGGCTGGTCTAGAACTCCTGACCTCAAGCTGTCCTCTCAGTTTGGCCTCCCAGAGTGCTTGGATCACAAGAGTGAGCCACTACGCCTGGCCTAAACCTCCATTTCTCTTATCTGTAAAGTGGGATAACAGTAGTGCCCACCTTTTTATAGGTTTGTTCTATGTGAGGTATTTAGCATGGTAGGTGGTACACAGCTGTGTAAATAGTAAAAATTATAATGATATGTAGTAAAATGTTTACATTTTGTGCTCTTCAGAATTTATATTAAATATAATGTTTAAGGGAATAAAAAGTAACTGCGTTTTATCTTTATGATTAATTAACAAAACAAAATTCTAAGTTCTCTACAAGGCCAAAATAGTAAAAAGGTAAGAACCATTAACTCTGATCCTTTGCAGAGATAGCACAGTACAGATTCTTTGTAGGCATTAATACAAACTGCCATGCTAATCCATAGAAAAGTTCATATGGATAATACTTTATCAACTTAATCAGCTTCAGCAAACGTTTTCTGACTAATATCTCTTATGTCTTCTCCAACTCCTGACCTTTAGCGATCCTCCCGCCTGTGTCTCCCAGAGTGCTAGAATTACAGGGGTCAGCTACCACGCCGGAAATCTCTTGTGTCTTCTAAATGTTCGCCTTTTTAGTTCTTTATTTTGAAGCATGCTACAACCTTTTGCACAATTGTAGCATTTGATTCTACAATTAAATAGAGTGATTACATACCAAATTTTCTTTTCGGCATCCAGGTGACAGTCACAACATATTAAGTAGTAATAACTTAACATAAACCTACTTGTAGCTAATCATAATCTATTTAGGTGAATTTTATTAAAAGTATTTGTAGTGCTTTACTGTAGAAGTCAAAATGTGGGCAATTTCTTAATTTACTCTTTTTTGTTACTGCAAGAGCCATTTGAGCATTCATGCAGATAACTTTAACTTAGATACTTAGATCCTAAACATGAAATTACTTTCAGAATTATCTAAGCCATTAAATTTTTTTCATTGTTAATTCCTTTATTCATTTTCATTATCTGTTAGCACACTTTGCAAAAACCCAAAGAAAGTTGGGGTTTAATAGACTGTTAACTACATGAAGGCAGATATTATGACTGTGCCATTTCACTGTTTCTCCCATAATTCACAGAGTCTGGCACATAATAGTTATTGTAAATATTTGTTGGATGAATGGTTAAAATTTTTAACATGCCTAATGGAAACTGTTCTTTCATCAATAATGGGCTTATATTCAAGGTTGAGTTATTTCAATAAAACATGAATTAAATGTAATACTTGAAGAATAAGATGTATAGATAATTTACTTTTCTATTAAATTGCTGCTTAAACAAGATTTTTTTCCATATTTGTAAGCAGACTACTGAGCATAATCAAATCTTTAAAAATTTGTAATACTATGGTACTTTATTTTCTAGGCATCCATTCTCACTAGTTTTTCAAAACTAGTTATCAGGATGGGCACGATGGCTCATGCCTGTAATCCTAGCACTCTGGGAGGCCGAGGCAGGAGGATCACTCAAGGTCAGGAGTACAAAACCAGCCTGAGCAAGAGTGAGACCCCATCTCTATCAAAAATAGAAAGAAATTAATTGGCCAACTAAAAATATATATACAAAAAATTATCCAGGCATAGTGGCACATGCTGATAGTCCCAGCTACTTGGGAGACTGAGGTAGAAGGATTGCCTGAGCCCAGGAGATTGAGGTTGCTGTGAGCTAACGCCACAGCACTCTAGCCCAGGCAACAGAGTGAGACTGTCTCAAAAACAAAACAGGCCGGGCGCGGTGGCTCACGCCTGTAATCCTAGCTCTTGGGAGGCCGAGGCGGGCGGATTGCCCAAGGTCAGGAGTTCAAAACCAGCCTGAGCAAGAGCGAGACCCCGTCTCTACTATAAATAGAAAGAAATTAATTGGCCAACTGATATATATATGTAAAAAAATTAGCTGGGCATGGTGGCGCATGCCTGTAGTCCCAGCTACTCGGGAGGCTGAGGCAGAAGGATCGCTGGAGCCCAGGAGTTTGAGGTTGCTGTGAGCTAGGCTGACGCCATGGCACTCACTCTAGCCTGGACAACAAAGCGAGACTCCGTCTCAAAAAAAAACACAAAAAAACAAAAAACAAAATAAAAACAACAAATAAAACACACCTAGTTATCATAAGTGTAGTAGGTATTGTTTATGATATGTGCTAGAAGTTTCAGGTCAAGTTTTCTATTTAAAGAAAACTTCTCATAGACACAGGTGATAAGTTTTATGAATTGGTTTTTATCTCCCACCAATAATGAAGAGTAGACTGTGAAATCTGATTATATATAGGTTCTGCTTTATTATAATTGTTCTATCATTCTTAAATTGGGGAATTTAAAAAATCTTTTAGAGTAAATATTTGAACTATGTTGTTCTAACAACTCACTATAGCAAATAAGTATAGGTTACATGAGGAGCTTAGAGATATCTACCAGTATATAAATTTTTAATATCTAAAACTTAAAAGTAAACCTTAAAAAATCCATAGTTTTTTTTTTTTTTATCTTATTACCCCCACCAAATTTGATGGTAAAGTATTTTAAGGTATTTTTTATTTTAGGCCTATTAAAAAGAAAAACTTTATTGATGTGTGACATACATAAAAGTGAACATAAGTGAAGAGCTTGATAAATTCTCACAAATGAACAAACCCATGTAACTGATATCCAGATCAAGAAACAGACTATTAGTAACTTCCTTAAAAAGTTTAAATGTTAAAAAAAAAAAAAAAGTTTAAATGTTCAATATTAAAAAATATCAGGACTTAGATAAACTTGAGAGACTTAGGTCCTGGATCTAACTTTATTACTAATTTCAAGTGTCACCTTAGGCAAGTTATTTCATCTTTCTGAGGACTACTCCCCATCTCTAAAATGAAGGAATGGGATCAGGTGTTTTATTATGGCTCTAATTCTATAAAAGTGCAAAAAGATGGATTACTGTGATGTAAATGTTGTGTAAAAGTTTGTAGGGAGAGGCTGGACTTGTGGTTCCTTTCAACAGTTTACTTGAAAAAGAAGACATTCTCAAGTTTTTCCTTTTCCTTTGTTTTCCAGGTTATATTTCACACTATGTGCTGACTGTATCTACAGAAGATATTTAAAAAAAAAAGATAAACTTTTTTCAAAGATTTTGATTCCAGTGGAATCTTTGCTTTAGTTTTTGTGTGTGTATGTGTCAGTGAATTGTAACTCCAGAAGCAATGCCTGTACAAGCTCCACAATGGACGGATTTCCTCTCCTGCCCAATTTGCACTCAGACTTTCGACGAAACAATTCGAAAGCCCATCAGTTTGGGCTGTGGCCATACTGTCTGCAAGATGTGCCTGAATAAACTCCACCGCAAGGCATGCCCTTTTGACCAGACCACTATTAATACAGACATTGAGCTCCTCCCTGTGAATTCAGCATTGCTGCAGCTAGTGGGTGCTCAGGTAAGATGGGTGATGGGTGACTTAGTATGTTTTAATTTCTATGAATGTGTATAGTTTCTGCCTGAGAGAAACCTATTGCATTAAAATTGAGTAACATTGCCTTCGTATTTGAATAGATATAATTCTGTTTGGTACTGTGCAAATCCTTTATTTCAGTGTGTTAGGAGATTTATTTTAGTACCACAGTATTTCTTAGTCATAGTACAGTAACATCTATTTCATCTTGTGGTAGATTTTCAATAATCCTAGCTATTCAGATCACTAGAAAAACCTAAGAGGTAAGTCATAAGGACTTCTTAACATTGAGGAAAATATGCATAAAACCATTGCACTTTATTCAGTAAGAAAGGTGATGCTCCTTTAGACAATTTTACTTAGTTTACACTAACTGAAATGAAAGATAAGAAGGGTGACAAACCATAGAGCACAGCTTTTGGGAACCAGTTTTTAGAGTAGGGCAAATATTCCTAGGTACCTACATATGAAAGTTATTCTGGTAATGCTGAAGGTAATACTTTCGAAGTTTTATGTCAGTATTCTCAAATTAGAAATCAGTATCCTCAGAAGATTTCATAAAGCCAAAGGAGGTAGGTTTTTGAGTGCTAGATACAATTCATTTAGGTAATCCCTGTGAATTTACAGAGTGTGAGTCTGAAGTCCCATATATTTATCATGAATCATTTTCTGAATACATATAATGGAACTTTGATTGCTAAAATGTAGAGAAAATTGATACTACATATGTTGGAGATAAAAGAGCTGTTCTTATCTCTCAAGAGTGCTAGGATTATAGGTGTGAGCCACTGCACCTAGCCTATAATAGCTTTTTCAAAAAGAAAATTTAGTTTACAGGCCTATCTTGATGTCACCAACAATACTACAAAATATTCGTGAAAATAAAAAGTGCAATTGATTTTTAAATTTTGTTCCTATATTTACTTCTTGATTTCATAATCTTTTTCTCTTTTTATTTTGAAAATTCCAATATGATATTTTGGAAACATTTTAAAGAATAGACACATTGGGGATAACAATTTTGGAAATGCTGCATTTTAATAGCAAATAACCAAGGCTTGCTTTTTTTTCATAAAGTTATCTAAGGATGAACTAATTTTTCTACAAAATGGGTTCTTAACTGAAACAACTAATTGTTATGAAATTTGAGGATAGGACATTTTAATACATAATGGCCACTATTTTAACCCTAAAGATTCCATTTAAAAACAAAGTTTCAGGATATAAAATCAATACACAAAAATCAGCTACATTTCTATACACTGACAATGAATGAAGCGAAAAGGAAATTAAGAAAACAATTTCACTTATGGTAACATCAAAAATAACAAAATACTTAGGAATAAATTTAACAAAGGACATGAAAGACCTGTACACTGAAAACTGTAAAACACTGCTGAAAGAAATTAAACATAAATAAATGGAAAGATACCATATGTTCATGAATTAACAGACTTAATGTTATTAAGATGACAAGCAGTCTACAGATTTAGTGCAAGTCCTGTCAAAATTCCAATGGTGTTTTTGGAGAAATAGAAAAACTCATCCTAAAATTTATATAGAACTCCAGGGACCTCAAATAGCCAAAATAATCTTGAAAGAGAGCAAAATTGGAGAACTCATGCATCCTGATTTCAAAATGCACAGCTACAGTAATCAAGAAAGTGTGGTACTGGCATAAAGACACGTGTATAGATCAATGGAATAGGATAGAGAGCCCAGAAATCAATCTGCACCATATATGGTCAAATGATTTTTGACAAGGTTGCCAACACCATTCACTGGGAAAAGGTCAGTCTTTTCAATAAGTAGTGCAGGGAAAACTGGATATTCACATGCAAAAGAATGAATTTGGAACCTCACCTTGCACCATATGCAAAAATTAACTCAAAATATATTGACGTTCTAAACTAAATTTAGGAGTTAAACTGTTAAACTCTTGGGAGAAAATGCAGAGGAAGATTTTCATGACCTTGGATTGGGCAATACTTTCTTAAATGTGATACCCAAAGCACAAGCAATAGAAGAAAAAAATAGATAAATTGGAATTTTTCAAAAATGAAACCTTTTTCTTCCCTATTCGGTCTTTTTAATATTAATAAAAAAATAAGTAAATAAATAAAAATAAAAACTTCTGTGTATCAAGATTGGAAAATTCTGTGCATTAAAAGATATACAGTGACAGAAAATAATTGTAAATCATGTATCTAATGAGGGATTAATATACAGGATATATAATGAACTCCTACAACTTAACAACAACAACAAAAACTTGATTAAAAAATGATTAAAGGACTTAAATAGACATTTTTACAAAGAAGATATACAAATAGCCAATGCAAGCATATGGGAAAATGCTCAACATCATATTAATCATTAGAGAAATGCCACTCAAAACCACAATGAAATACCAATACCATCTCACACCCACCAAAATAGTTATAATCAAAACATAGAAAAGAATAAATATTGGGAAGAATATGAAGAAATTCTAGCTCTTTTTTTATTGTTTTATTTTTTTTCTTGAGATAGGGTTTTGCTGTTACCCAGGCTGGAGCGCAGTAGCATGATCGTTGCAGCTTCAAATCCCTGGGCTTAAACAATCCTGCCACCTCAGTCTCCCAAGTAGCTGGGTCTACAGGCATAGGCCATCATGCCTGGCTAATTTTTCTTAATTTTTTGTAGAAACGAGGTCTTGCTTAGGCTGGTCTCCAACTCCTGGCCTCAAGCAAAATCCTCCCTGCCTTGGCCTCCCAAAGTGCTGGAATTACAAGTGTGAGCCACTTGGCACCCAGCCAGAAACTGGAATTCTTATGCACTGTTGGTGGGAGTGTCAAATGATGCAGCCACTATGGAAATAAAATTCTCCTTAAAATTTGAGAATAGTATTACTGTATGTGTGGATTACCCAAAAGGATTAAAGCAGAGTCTTGAAGAGAGATTTGTACACCCATATTTAAAATAGCATTATTCACAATAGCCAAAGAGTAGAAGCAACTCAAGTGTCCATCAATGGATGAACAAAATATTATATATAGTGGAATATTATTCAGCCATAAGAGGATCGGGATTCTGATACATGCTACAACATGGATAAACCTTGAAAACATTTTGCTGAGATACAAACCAGAACAGTAGGACAAGTATTATATGTTTTCACTTATGTGAAATATCTAGAATAATAATTCATAGAGATAGAAAAATAGGAGAAAGGTTACCAGTATCTGAGGGGAGAGGGGAATAAGGAGTTGTTAATGGGTATAGAGCTGTCATTTGGGGTGCTGAAAAAGTTCTGGAAATAGATAGTAGTGATGATTATACAACATTGTGAATGTACTTAGTATATTATACACCTAAAATGGTTTTAAAATAGTAAATTTTGTATTATATATTGTATCACAATAAAAAATAAAATTAAAAATACACTATCACCAAGTGAGATTTTTCCTACGTGTACAAGGTTGGTTTAACATCTGAAAATCAATTAATATAATATACCACCACATCAATAGAATTTTTTAAAATGCACATGCATGATCATCTCAGTAGACACAGAAGATGCATTTGGCAAAATCCAGCACTCTTTCATGACAAGAGCACTCAAGAAACTAGGAATAAATAAACCAGGAAACTTCTTCAAATAAATTCTGTAGATACTATGCCCTCAAGGAGGTAGAGTATGTGTGTGAGCATGTATAATGAATCCTTCCAAAAGTACAATATGGGAGGTGGGAGATGATATAACTCTATCATGTAAGAACTTATTAAACACTGCCCCAGCCAGCTGATCAAGTTTAATATCAACAGTGATACATCATGTTGATAGTATGTATCCTTGATATTATGTGATAAAAATGACACTTCCTCTATGGTCTTCCAAAAATCCATAACCCCAGATTACTCTTGAGAAAATTGACAGATCCCAGTTGAGGGGCATTCTATATCATGCCTGGTCAATATAATCTCAAGGGAGGGATGTTCTACAACATACCTGACCAGTACTCCTCAAAACTGTCAAGGTTATCAAAAACAGTGAAAATCTGAGAAACAGTCACAGCCAAGATGAGCTTAAAGAGACAAAGACTAAATGTAATATGGTATCCTGGATGGGATCGTGGAACCTAGAGAACAGTAGGTAAAAACTAAGTATATCTGACTAACATGGATCTTAGTTAATAATAAAGAATATGTTGATATTGGCTCATTAATTTTTTAACAAATGTGCCATACCAATGTAATATGTCAGTAGAGCAGGCTGGGCACAGTGGCTCATACTTACAATCCCAGCACTTTGGGAAGCTGAGGCAGGAGGATCACTTGAGGCCAGGAGTTCAAGACTAGCCTGGGCAACATAGCGAGACCCCATCTATACAAAATACTTTTAAAAATTAGCTTAGTGTGGTGGCGCGTATCTGTAGTCCTACCTACTTGGGAGGCTAAGGCAGGAGGATCGCTTGAGCCTAAGAGTATGAAGTTGCAGTGAACTATGATTGCACTGCTGCACTCCAGCCTGAGTGACACAGCAAGACCCTTTCTCAAAAAATAATGATAATGATAGGGGAAACTGGGTGCAGGGTAATGGGAATTCTCTGTACTATCTTTGATATTTTTCTGTAAATCTAAAACTATTCTGTAAAATAAAGTGGGGGGGGGTCTTGGGGGCTTTTGTTTGTTTGTTTTGAGACAGGGTCTTGCTCTGTCACCCTGGCTAGAGTACAGTAGCATCATCATAGCTCACAGCAACCTTAATTCCTAGGCTCAAGTGATCTTCCTGCCTCAGCCTGCTGAGTAGCTGGGACTACAGGCTCACACCACCATGCCTGGCTAATTTTTTCTGTTTTTTGTAGAGGCAGTGTCTTGCTTTTGCTCAGCCTGGTCCCCAACACCTGGCCTTAAGCAATCCTCCCACTTTCACCTCCCACAGTGCTAGGATTACAGATGTGAGCCACCACACCTGGCCTAAAATCACTTATTTAACAAAATGGGCAAAGGATCTGTGTAAGCCTTTCTCCAAAAAGTACATGAAAGGATGCTCAGCATCATTCACCATTAGGGAAATACAAATCAAAACCACAGTGAGGGTAAGGGAGGTAGATGGGGAAAAGAGAGATATTGATCAAAGGGTACAAAGTTTCAGTTAGACTGCAGGAAAAAGCTTTAGTGATTTATTGCACAGAATAGTGACTATAATAAATAATGATGTATTATGTATTTCAAAATTGCTAAAAGTCAATTTTAAATGTGTCACTGCAAAAAATGATATATGAGGTGATGGATTTGTTAATTCATCTGATTTAATCATTCCCATTATAAACATATATCAAACCATAACATTATATCCCACAAATATATACAATTATTTGTCAATTAAAAACAAAATAATAGCTATGTGGAGGATTTGGAACCCTTATATACTCCTTAGAGGTATATAAAATAGTACTCTGCTTTTGAAAATAGTCTGGCAGTTTTTCAAAAGGTTAAACATAGAGTTACTACTCCTAGGTCTATACCCAGGAGAAACAAAAACACATGTTCACACAAAAACTTTCACACAAATGTTCACAGCAGCATTGTTCATAATAGTCAAAAAAAGAAACAGCCCATATGTCTATCACATGATGATTACATAAATATAATGTGATATATCCATACAATGGAATGTTAGCAATAAAATAAAGTACTGACTGGGTGTAGTAGCTCATACCTGTAATCCCAGCACTTTGGGAGGCCAAAGCAGGAGGATCACTTGAGCCCAGGAATTCAAGGCTGCAGCAATGATCATGCTGCTGCACTTCAGCCTAGGCAATAGAGCAAGACCCTGTCTCAAAACAAAAACTCAACAAAAAATGAAGTACTGATACATGCTACATATTTGAATGACCCTTAAAAACATTAACCACTTCCGGGACCAGCGTCACCTGTAGTCAAAAGATAGCCACAGATGAATGTGCACAGTGACTTTAGCCGACAGCTGTGAGAGGACTTTTCTAATTTTTCATTTATCAAAATAGAATTGTGAACATTTAAAAATCATAATGAAAACATACGTATGTGTTACCTATTCTGATTTACATTACAAGTAAAGCTGCCTGTAAAGTAAAACAAGCTTTCAGTACTTTAAAGCTTTCCTCATCACACGGATTTGTTGTCAATGCATAGTACAAACTACCGTGCAGACTGAGTGCCGGCTGTGGGCAAGGTTTTCACAGCTGGTGAGCACAGTACCGAAGTGGTTAAGTAAAAGAAGCAAGTCAGAAAAGACCACATATTGAACGATTCTATGATTTTGTTTGTATGAAATGTCCAGAATAGGAAAATCCACAGATTCATAACAAATAGATTAATGTTTCCTAGGGTCAAGGTGGGTTGGGAGGAGATGCAGGGGTAACTGTTAAAGAGGTGCCACATTTCTTTTTGGGGATGAAAATGTTCTAAAGTTGATTGTAGTGATGGTTACACAACTGTGAATGTACTAGAAATCACTGAGTTATGTATTTTAAACTAGTCATTTGTATGGTAGATGGATTATATCTCCAGGTCGTTACAGAAACAACAATACAGTAGATGTGTGTGTACAGGAGAAGTCTTTTGAAAGAATTCAGTACCTTTAGTGGAAGTTTTGTGGTTGTCACTGTTATCAGTGTATAACCTATACTCAGTAAAACTTTTGTTTAATTAATTAATGAACACTCAAAGAGATCTTTATTTTGGCCACCAGGTACCTGAGCAGCAGCCCATTACTTTGTGTAGTGGAGTTGAAGATACAAAACATTATGAGGAAGCCAAGAAATGTGTAGAAGAATTAGCATTGTACCTGAAACCACTCAGCAGTGCTAGAGGTAAAGTTAATAAAATTATCCATGCTAAACAAATGTCTATTAAAAATACTTATATAAACCATAAAAAGTGTGAGCTATATGTGAATGTTAATGAAATTCATTTGTTTATTGTAAACCAAACCCACTTTATGCTAAACAATATCATTACAAGCCACATCAAGTAAAATAGTGAATTTAGAGTTTATGATGTTAGAAATATTTGAATGATTGTAGAAGTAAGTATAAGGATACTAGTGTTCAGAAGAATTTTCCATTATTTGATAACTATGAATAAATCTGCCTTCTATCCAGTTTTATATGGTGTGCTATAGGGGGTATAATAAAAATGGGAGTTGCCATTACTGCACAGAAAAGGCTTACCATTTAATTATAAAAGTAACCACCTTGAAATATATGCCAGAACTGTTGTGACCTCAAGATTAATGTTGTTTGGCCTTTTGTTCCTTCTTCTATGATTAAAATGAGTAGTGGTATCTTTCATGTCCATGCGTGTTAAATGTACATGAGATAACTCATGTATATGTTTGTATACTTTAAAAATGCTAACTAGGCTTCACTTGGGTAGTTTTATTTGTTTATTTTAATTATTCTAGTAGGACTCAGAACTGTTTACATACCCACAAGTCAGTCAACCCATCAGAGGAAGTATTTCTGGATTGTAAAATGCACTATAAACCTAAAAGTAACTTCTTTACTCTCTTTTAAAGGAGTGGGTTTGAATAGCACTACTCAAAGTGTTCTGAGTCGCCCAATGCAGAGGAAGCTTGTGACTCTGGTCCACTGTCAACTAGTGGAAGAAGAAGGCAGGATTCGTGCCATGAGGGCAGCTCGATCTTTAGGTGAACGAACAGTTACAGAGCTCATTCTCCAGCACCAGAATCCTCAACAACTCTCTTCCAATCTTTGGGCAGCAGTCAGGGCTAGAGGCTGCCAGTTCCTTGGACCAGGTATATAATTAGAATTTGGTATTTATTCTGCTGGTAATTCTAAAAGTATCATGTAGAAACTATAAGTGATGTACAAAAGCTAGTTCCTTGCAATATTCAATTGTTACCAAGTAATATCTCACTTGACAATCATGGCTTGGGTAATTCCATGCATGTTAGTTTTTTAGGGAACTTGAGTTTTTCTCTTATTGTCAGAAGTTTATTCATTTTCATAGAAGTCTGTCTGTTTTCCTTCTTTTTTTTTTTTTTTTTTTCCCAGGCTAGAGTGAGTGCTGTGGCGTCAGCCTAGCTCACAGCAACCTCAAACTCCTGGGCTCAAGCAATCCTCCTGTCTCAGCCTCCCGAGTAGCTGGGACTACAGGCATGCGCCACCATGCCCGGCTAATTTTTTCTATATGTATTAGTTGGTCAATTAATTTCTTTCTATTTATAGTAGAGACGGGGTCTCACTCTTGCTCAGGCTGGTTTTGAACTCCTGACCTCGAGCCTGCCTCGGCCTCCCAGAGAGCTAGGATTACAGGCGTGAGCCACCGCGCCCGGCCCTGTTTTGTTTTTTTTTTTTTTTTTTCATTCCAGCATGGAACATCACAGAACTGAAAGCGGCCCTGTTTTCCTTCTTTTCCTTTCTTTCTTTCCTTCTTTCTCTTCTTGTCTCTTCTTGTTTTTTTTCTTTTCTTTCTTTTTTTTTTAGACAGGTCTCTCTGTTACCCGGGCTAGAGTTACAGTGGCAACCTCAAACTTCTAGGCTCAAGCAATCTTCGTGCCTCAGGTCTCCTGAGTAGCTGGGACTGTAAACGCTTGGCACCACACCTGGCTAATTTTTTTCTATTTTTAGTAGAGGCAGGGTCTTGCTCTTGCTCAGGCTGGTCTCAAATTCCTGACTTCAAGCTTTCTCTCCACCTCGGCCTTCCAGAGTGCTAGGATTACAGGTGTGAGCCAATGTGCCCGGCCAGAAGTTTTTCTTAAATATATTAATCACTTATCTACTTTCTTAATAAAATATGTAGTATATAATATAAAATTGCCCTTAAAAATGGTTAAAACGTATATAGCTGTGAACATCTTTTATTGTGTTGCCCATTAAGTGATAGCTACAAAAATTATTGAATATTGCCCTTCTGATAAATGGATTTATGTTATCTCTGCACATGATAAATGTTGATTTTCCCCAATTTTTCCTAGCAATGCAGGAGGAAGCTCTAAAACTGGTTCTGCTGGCCTTAGAAGATGGATCTGCTTTGTCAAGAAAAGTATTGGTTCTCTTCGTGGTGCAAAGGTTGGAGCCACGGTTTCCTCAAGCCTCTAAAACTAGCATTGGGCATGTTGTTCAACTTCTTTATAGAGCCTCCTGCTTCAAGGTATGAATATGCATCAAAGTTTAGCTTGAAAGGAAACATCATTCTTTCCCCAAACTTTTGAGTTTTCAGTAAATTTCAGCAATTTTAAAATGTAACCAGTGTCCTATTATAGTTAAATCCTATTGTACTGAATTTTTTAGATTGCATTTTGAACAACATAGATCAAACCACTGCTTGCAGATTTTTATATTTGAAGAGACTAATAAACTATGTCAGTTTCCCACCAAGACTATATGCGGAATTGGTCTAAAGAGAGAGTCATTGAAACATGAGTGAGTTTTATTCAGAGATGATTTCTCCTGGTGTAATTCGACGTACACAATACTGGAGCTCTAAATGCCATTTTGGTTTCAGCATGTGTGGTAACACTGGATATATCCTCTTGTATCCCAAATTGAATCAGTACTGCCTCAAGCATTGTTCACTCTGTATATCATTTATTGTTCATTCTATTTTATTTTTCTGACTTATTAAAGTCAAGTCTTCTTGATTCTGACACAACCCATAACCAGTACTTGAAAAACATGACTTCAGAAAATTGTTAATTCATTTATACTAGTTATAAGGAAATCCATTCTGAGATCATATTCTGTCATGTGATAGTCATAAACTAAAAAAACCCCACATTAGCCATCCTACTGTATTCTATTCTCTTATCCTTTGAGAAGGAGAAAATGATTCACAAAATTAACAGGAGAGCATACAGATAAAATTTTTTAAATTAAAAAAAATTCTAGCTAAATGCTAACATTCTATAATCTTTACAGAGTCAGATTATGTATTGAAAATGGGCCTCTATTTTCCTTAGGTGCCTCTGATGCTATCAAAACCTCTAGCCAGAATTATTTTAACTGGTCCAAATTACTTGTGAATAACTCAATCTTATTGTAGCAGTTAGAGTAACATGATTGTACAGTGTAGTCCAGAATACATTAGAGAATGTCTTTCTGCTTCCAGTATTACTTGTTCCCCATTAACAGCACCAGACAGATTCCATATAGGAAGTTTTAGAAAGAAAAAAATCTAACCTTCCCCTGCGAGTTTAAAAAAAAAAAAGAGGAAGATGGAGGAAACATCCAACCTTTCCTATGAAGGATAATGAGTGGCTCAAATACCCCAGCATGGCTGGGCCGGTGGCTCACGCCTATAATCCTAGCACTCTGGGAGGCCGAGGCGGGCAGATTGCTCGAGGTCAGGAGTTCAGCCTGAGTAAGAGTGAGACCCTGTCTCTACTATAAATAGAAAGAAATTAATTAGCCAACTAATATAGAAAAAATTAGCTGGGCATAGTGGCACATGCCTGTAGTCACAGCTACTTGGGAGGCTGAGGCAGCAGGATTGCTTGAGCCCAGGAGTTTGAGGTTGCTGTGAGCTAGGCTGACGCCACGGCACTCACTGTAGCCTGGGCAACAGAGTGAGACTCTGTCTCAAAAAAAAAAAAACCACAGCATGTTCACAAAATGACGTCTTTCAATTCTTAAAATCAACAGTAAATTGGAAATTTGTAAAAATCCAATTATTTTTCACTAGGGTCATGATTAACTTCATTGCAGGAATATGTGTCGATATAGCTGTGTTCTGGCTATGTCCTATTAGTATCTCTTGTATTTCGATTTGAAAAGACTTTTTGAACTGCTGGATAATTTGGGGTTTTTTTGGTACAATACAGTTCCAGGATTTTAGACATTCCTTCTCTGGGAAATCCTGGATTGTTTTTAATTAAAGAGAGTGTTGTGGCCGGGCGCGGTGGCTCATGCCTGTAATCCTAGCTCTCTGGGAGGCCGAGGCGGGCGGATTGCTCGAGGTCAGGAGTTCGAAACCAGCCTGAGCAAGAGCGAGACCCCGTCTCTACTATAAATAGAAAGAAATTAATTGGCCAACTAATATATACAAAAAATTAGCCGGGCATGGTGGCGAATGCCTGTAGTCCCAGCTACTTGGGAGGCTGAGGCAGGAGGATTGCATGAGCCAGGAGTTTGAGGTTGCTGTGAGCTAGGCTGACGCCACGGCACTCACTCTAGCCTGGGCAACAAAGCGAGACTCTGTCTCAAAAAAAAAAAAAAAAAGAGAGAGTGTTGAGAGCCAAGTCCAGGGAATCAGTGTATCATATAGATAGCATATTCTACTTTTTAGTGAGGTTTACCTTATAGTGAGGGGTGTTACTTACATGTTTGTGCATTTGGTCTTTTGACTTGCCTTTGAATAGTGACAAATATATTTAGTTTTTGCGACTATAGTTCTTGATTTTTATCTATTTGGTCTTTGTATGGACTTTCCTAACAAAATATGTTAGACCTTCCTTCTTGTAGTAAGAATAGACTACTTTTTTTTTTTTTTTTTTTTTTTTTTTTTGAGGGAGAGGATCTTGCTATGTTCCCCAGGCTGGCTTTGAACTCCTGGGCTCAAACAATCCTTCCCTTTCAGCCTCCCCAGTAACTAGGACTACAGGCATGCACCACCACACTTGATCAGTTTTTAATATAATATTAGTGTGACCTAGAAGTCTTGGCTACAATATTCTGTAGTTTCTTTGGTGAGAGGGAAAATATGGAAATTTTCTACTAGAAGAATGTGAGTCATTCAGAGAACAAAAGGTTAATAAGGCAAAATACATTCTAAAATATGTTATGGTATGGGTGATCATAGGCTAGAATTAATTATTTTACTTTGATTTGTTAAGCCTTTGGCCTAAATCCAACTTGACTCAAAATGTATGTTATTAGAATGATAACAATAATACTAACATCAACAAGTTAAACGCATTAAATGAGTTAATGCATAAGGTAATTTAATATACTGACTGGTACATGCTAAGTGGTCAAAAATTGGTAGCTGTTTTTCTTGCTAAATGATATTATCATCATTATGATTATAGTCCAGCATCTCAGACTTTATACTTTCTAATAGTGGCCCATCTCACGAAACTCCAAGGAAAATTAAGCCAAGTGTTAGGTTATTAAGTATGAAATATGTGATTTCCTTAAGTATTGACAGTTGATATTCACTTTGACATTTCTTGTTTTATTTTTATTGTGACGGTATATCCTCATTCTTTCAAATGCACAGTTTGGCTTGTGATTGTCTTTCAACATTTTTTTTTAGAGAAATCTTTGTGAAACCATGGATAAGTCAAAACTTCGTGTTATTTTCAAATATGAGTTCTGTCGTGAAACCAAAGCTGTACAGACAACTTGAAATATCAGTGAAGTGTTTGGAAAGGATGTGGTGAATGAACACAGATGTCAATGGTTTGAGAAGTTCCACTCTGGGGATTTTAATTTTGGAAATGAGCTACGTGGGTGACCTGAGACCAAGGTGGTTAATGATGAGTTGAAAGCTATAGCGGAAGTGAATTTGTCTCAACCTACGTGTGAATTAGCGAGGTCTGAGGTTACTATTCCAACAACATTGGACCATTTGAAATTGGCAAATCAGCAAGGTAGAGAAACTGGACAGATGGGTTCTGCATAAATTAAACAAGCGTCACAAGAGAAATAGTCTGGAAGCTTACCTTTCTTTGCTGTCACGACATAAAGGCGAGAATCATTTCTACACCTGTTGTTACATGTGATGAAAATGAATTGACAATTGCAAGCATTCAGCACAATGGTTGGATAAAGATGAAATGCTGCAACACAGTCCAAAACCAAATATTCATCAAAAAAAGCTAATGGTGTCTGTGGTCATCTAGTGCTGATATTATCTACTACAGCCTGATGAAACCTGGTCAGTCAGTTACAGAGGATGTCTGCTGCAACCAGCTGAATGAAATGATGAGGATGCTTGCAATTAAACAGATGAGATTGGTCAGTAGAGATAGGCCAATCCTCTTGCGAGACAACACTCAACCACATTTCGCATGAACGGTGCTGCTCAAACTACAGAGGCTGGTCTTGGAAACTCTCTGTCATTCACTGTATTCACTAGACCTTGCACCAACTGACTAGCACTTCTTCCAGGCTTTGGACCATTTCTTGGAGGAAAAATATTCAATTCTCGACAGGCTATGGAAAATGCCTTTCGTGATTTCATCACCACTTACTCTCTAGGCTTCGTCACTGCTGGCATAAACAGGCAAAACTGTCAATAACTTAGGCATATACTTTGATTAATTGTACTGCTGCTTGTTTGAGATATAATAAACTAACCTTTGATTCAAAATCAGACATTTCATATTTATTGACCTAATACAATTTAGCTGTCTTTAGAATCACATCAGCATCTGAAGCTCTTCAGTTTTTAATACCAGTTAGCTCAATGCCAGGCAAGCCCAAGAGTCATAATACACATTTATGGGGAAGAAATATAATATTGATTTTTGAAATATATAATTACATAAATGTTTTTTTCTTTTAAAAAATGCAGATACACATAACACTTTAAACTGCTATATATGTTAAGGTGTATGAACTCTTTGGATTTCATTTGAGTATCCCTAATCTGAAAATCCAAAATAATGAAACTTTTTGAGCACTGATATGACACTCAAAGGTAATGCTCATTGGAGCATTTTGGATTTTCAGATTAGAGATGCTCAACTGTGTAATGTTAATATTCCAAAATTGGAAAAAATCTGAAACACTTCCAGACCAAGCATTTCAGATGAGGGATACTCAAACTGTATTCATTCTTTCTGTAAGACCTATCCAAAAAATTTTGGCATCTATAAAGGGGAAAGTATTTTGCAGGCATTTTAACCTTGCTATTGCTACTAAAAGAAATTTGTTACATTAAAAATTATGTTATCTATATATGTTCATATAAAGTATAAACTTATTTTGTTTTTTTACCTTATTATGAGATTATTTGTGTCTTATTAGGTCACCAAACGTGATGAAGACTCTTCTTTGATGCAGCTGAAAGAAGAATTTAGAACCTATGAAGCTCTTCGGCGAGAGCATGACTCCCAGATAGTGCAGATTGCTATGGAAGCAGGCTTACGAATTGCACCAGACCAATGGTCCTCTTTGCTTTATGGAGACCAGTCTCACAAATCTCATATGCAGTCCATTATTGACAAGGTAGAGCCTTTTTTATTCCTCACTCCTGAAACTAATCTTGGAGTTTTGGTAATTTGTGATTTGATGATTTATTTATTTAACAAATATAGGCCGGGCGCAATGGCTCATGCCTGTAATCCTAGCACTCTGGGAGGCCGAGGTGGGCAGATCGCTCAAGGTCAGGAGTTCAAAACCAGCCTGAGCAAGAGCGAGACCCCGTCTGTACTAAAAATAGAAAGAAATTAATTGGATAACTAAAAACATACAGAAAAAAATTGGCTGGGCATGGTGGTACATGCCTGTAGTCCCAGCTGCTTTGGGAGGCTGAGGTAGGAGGATCCCTTGAGCCCAGGAGTTGGAGGTTGCTGTGAGCTAGGCTGATGCCACGGCACTCTATCTTGGGCAACAGAGTGAGACTCTGTCAAAAAAAAAAAAATACATATATATATGAATGCCATACATTAGGCTTTTGTAAATTATGTTCTCTGTAGCCTGTTGTCACGTCATAACTAGTCATAATACCAGATTTTTCATATAAAGATTTGATTAGTGTTATAATTCTTTATCTAGTGCTTTCCCACATTCCTTTGAGAGTCTCCCATCTATTTTGTCATTGCCTCTCTCTTCGTTTATAGTTCTCCTTGAGTTTTGATCATTGCATTAAGTAAACCCATTTTCTAAATGACTTTATTGTCTTCCTATAGCAGCTATTTAGTGGTCTGGAAGATCTGTACATTGAGGTCTCTTACGATTCTCAGCCAGAATAATTTTACATAATAACAAAGTTACTACCATTCCAAGTTTGATCAAATTCTCAGTAAACTTATTTTTATTTTATCTGTTGCTATTATGATGAAAAGACATTTAGAGTACATGTGAATTTTAGATCAGACTTTTAAGAGTGTATTTCTCTTAAAACTAGAGTAATACTCTTTTTGTTGTAATTCAACGTGAAATATGTGAAAGTGCTATAAAAAAGTCTTAAAGCACCATGTAATATGTAGTACATTCAATGATAGTATTACTTAATTTTTACTATTTTATCTGAAATACTATCATCTCAGAGATGATTACCAACTCTAGACCACCATGCATTTAATTTAGAGAAATAGGATCAGACTGTAAGAGTAGCCTAAAAGTAATAGTTAACATTTACTAAAAGCTTAGTATGTGCCTGGTGGTTTTAAAAAATTCATTTAATCCTCTCAGTAGCCTTATATTATCTCTTTTAGACAGAGATAAGGGGATGTTAAGTACATTTTTCAGCATCACATAGGAAATAAGTGACAGAAGTGGATTTGAACTCAGGTATTCTGACTCTAAAATCATGTTCTTAACCACTAAATCTCTTACCAGACTATTCTGTCCCTCTTTTTCTGCTATTCCCAAAGGTAAAAGTCTTTGAATGGGTAGTAAATTAATGTCAGAAGAGAATTGGGAAATGTGGTTTTTAAATGTTTGATGCATAATTTGCAGTTAAAATTTATGTTGTTTGGTCTACCCTGTAAGTCTTCCCTGCTGGATACCTTTAGCCAAACTTTACCTGCAACTTTTAGGTTTGAACAGGAACTTGTGTAACTGACTTATAACTTATGGAAAGCCTTAGTAATGATCTCTTAAAGGAGTACCTGTCTACCTATGAAAAAAAACTTGGCTTCCTTTTATAAAGATTCTATGCAGAGGTTAACCTTGTCTGAACTGAACTATATAACTAGGTGTCTATTCCACAATAATTTTTCCACATCATAGACAGTGATTTGAATTTAATATCCAGGGACCTTTGTGTAAGAAAACTGGCAAACAAATTTTACAGTGTATGTGATGTCTTGATATTATATAGAACAATAGAACTTTCTATGATAATGTTCTATGTGTGTACTGTCAATATGGTGATCACTAGCCACAGATGGCTATTAAACACTTGAAATGTATCTTATGTAGGTAGTGAACTGAAATTTCTATTTAATTAATTTGAATTTAAATAGCCACGTGTTGCCAAGACATACTGGACAATGAAAATAGAGAATTTATTAAAAATGATAAGAAAAGCACCAGTTCTAGTAAATTAATAGAGAAACATGAATTGATGATTCACAAAGAGGACGTGTTGATATATCTAATTGATGGGATAGAATTCAGACCCAATAATAATTAAAGAAACATATATTTAAAATAGTAACATATCAAATACTGTCTATTAAATCAGTAAAAGAAATATATTCTCTCATATATTGCTGATGGTTTATAAAGTGCATTACATATCTCCTGGGAAGCAATTTGTCAGTGAATAAAACTCACAAACTATTCTTGTACTTTACCCAAACTTACTATTCCCAGGAATTTATTTTAAGGAAATAATTCAAACTTTCAAAGAGATTATGAGCTCAGGGGTGTTAATTACTGCATTATTTACAAAGAAGAATCGCTTCTCAGCTTTTTGGCTAAGATCAAGTACAGTATTTTTAAAGGGAAAGATAAGGGACAGTTAAAGAAGTTAAGATTTATCTGCTCAGAACATTGTTAAATTAAAATTAGGTCAGGAGGGATATTTTCTTCAGCTCATACATAACATTTAATTTCTTTTTGAAAAATAGGCCAGTGGCTCACACCTATAATCCTAGCACTCTGGGAGGCCAAGGCGGGAGGATCGCTTGAGGTCAGGAGTTTGAGACCAGCCTGAGCAAGAGCAAGACCCTGTTTCTACTAAAAATAGAAAAAAATAATTAAAAAAAAAAGCTAAATGTTTCCCATTAAAAACCCTTAGTTATTACCACAAAATCTGCTGGTCATATATATGGCCATCTGAGAGGAATTAATGTAACTGTATGTTTCCTTAAGCCTTGGGGAAATACACAACTTGATAGCTTCCAAGAATCCCAAACTGATACAGGATTTTTTGAGCTGTAGTGAAATTTTGAAATTATTTAGTCCACTTAACAAATGGACTTCAAATGGGGTCTGTAAGGTTTATATCCAGTGTCATGATCTGTGGTCTTAACAGAACTTGAAATCAAACTCAGTTTGACTGAAGTCAATGTCATTATTCTTGCTATTGTGTAGTATTATCTCTAAACTGTATTTCCAAATTTCAGTTATTTGGAAGGACCCCAAGAACCAAACCAACATAGTGCTTTAAAACATAGGGTGGGCCGGGCGCTGTGGCTCACGCCTGTAATCCTAGCTCTTGGGAGGCCGAGGCGGGCGAATTACTCAAGGTCAGGAGTTCAAAACCAGCCTGAGCAAGAGCGAGACCCCGTCTCTACTATAAATAGAAAGAAATTAATTGGTCAACTGATATATATATATATAAAAAAAATTAGCCGGGCATGGTGGCGCATGCCTGTAGTCCCAGCTACTCGGGAGGCTGAGGCAGAAGGATCACTCGAGCCCAGGAATTTGAGGTTGCTGTGAGCTAGGCTGATGCCACGGCACTCACTGTAGCCTGGACAACAAAGCGAGAAAAAAAAACAAAAACATAGGGTGGAAAGAGTTCTTCCAAATTGAGGAATTGAGAAAGGTCACACATTTGAAGAATTTGACAGCAAAGGGAGTAGAGTATTCAATATGCCAAGCTGTGGATGCAGAGAAATGCAGAATTTGTTTAGGTAGCAAGTAATCCAATCTGGCCAAAGTGTAGGGTATGTAGGAGGATGAAAATTAAATTTAATAAATGGCAAAAATAATTGTGATGTCACAGATAATCTTTACTTTAAAAGGATTATCTGGCCTTTGGGAAAGTTAATATTTATCTTTTTTAAGTTGCAGACCCCAGCCTCTTTTGCACAGAGTGTTCAGGAACTAACAATTGCTCTCCAGCGGACTGGAGACCCAGCAAACTTGAACCGACTAAGACCCCATTTGGAGCTGTTAGCAAACATTGATCCTAGTCCAGGTAAACCCATGAGAAATTAATGGACTATCTTACGTGTGCCCCTAGTGCTGCTCAATGATTCTTTAATTTTCTTTTGTTACATTCCTCTAGCATTTCCCAGAGTAGTTATTCCATATCCTTTCTATAGTATTTAAGTTTCTGTTCCAAATCTTGCCCCTCTTTATCTCAGGTTAGTTCAATTCAACTAATACTTATTCAATACTTTTTTACTGTGCTGCTCACTTCATCAGGAAAATAGACCTCTCTGGGCTCCTTTGTTTCACAGAATTGTGCTGTATTTTACCATTGTCACCTTTTTGTCAAAACTCAAGTTTTTCTCATTTTTTCCTATATTATATATCCTTAGTTGTATTTCCTTGATCTCATTTTTGCCTTCTCTATAATATCTTGCTCTATCAAGTACCTTCTTTTGCATATCTTTACTTTGTCAACCCTTGTCAACCCCTTCCTGCTCCTTCTCCTTTATCTGAAAATATATCCAATCTTCATTTTTCACTTATTATATCTGAGATATTTTAGCATCTGTCCTATCACTGTCCCTGTGTTAATTCCTACTACTGAATTGAAACTCTGTCAGTATTCACTAGTAGTTTCCCAATCTCTAATTACAAAGGCTTTTCAGTCCTTAAATTATTTCATTTGTCTTCAGCAGTTGATAATGTTCTTGACCACTTCTTTGATGTATTATAGAAACTCTTCCAACATCTTATCTTTCTGTAGTCTCGTGGTTCTCTTGACCTGAGTGCTGCTTCTGTCTTATTTGTACTGCTCTTTCCCTTCCTGCCCACTAAGGAGGAGGCAGGTTGTGCTCTTGGAACTTTGTTTTCTCTGCATTTTCTGATGATGGTTATTCATTCTTATCATCAGATATTACCTCTGTATAGAAATAGACTCCCAAATATCTCTATCACTGTTATCCCTCTATCTCTCCAGATTCATTTCCCAAATGCTTACTGAGATTCTCCATCATCTCCTCTGTGTGTTTTGAAGCAAGTTCATCTTCACTTGATACCTGCTCATCTTCTTGTGTTTCCTCTTTCTGATAATGACCTTATTATCTGAGGTATGTAAGCTTAAAACTTTAGTCTTTTGTTTTGCCTCTTATCTTTTTCTTTCACATGCTCTACATACCACTTCAGACAATAGGATTTATACGTTCTTCTTTCACAGTATCCCTCCCTTTATCCTATGCCTGTTATTACTGCCTTAGTGAGAGCCTCATTCCTTTTCCCTGAGACTGAAAGCCTTCCAATTTTCTGTAATTTTAATTCTTCCAATGCAGTCTACTTACTGCTGCAAAATAAATCATGTCCCTGATCTTATTTCCAAACTAATAAATTTTCATTGGTACCCCATTGCTTATAGAATAACGTTTTAAACTCTTTGACTATGGTATTCAGCGCCCTCTTAATTTTTTATCAGCCTACTTTTGTAGATTTGCTCCCAAAATTGCTTAATCATACCAGATCAGATCTGTTCCTAGAATATATAGTAATTTTTCCCCACTTTGGTGCTTTGATCATTCTGAGCAATCAAAACAGAATTTTCATAATCTTTTAACCACCACATTAACCTGTCTACCTACATCTATATTCTATTCTTGCATAATGGTGGATAAAGTGTACAACTAGTCGAGTCTGCCCTCTGTCCTCATGCACTAGATATGGTCTTGTCAGGTATATCCTTCCAGTACCCTCTCTTTCTTATATCATCACTTTTCCTTCTCTTAGAGTATTTCTGTCAACATACAAATATACTGTTACTTCTCTTATCTTAATTCATTTTTTAACCCCATTTCCCATCTACCTACCAGCTGATTTCTCTCCTTTTTATGGCACATTCTTGAACTCATTCTAGTCAGGTATTTATCTTTTTTACTCTATCCAAACTTATTTTGTTAAGGTCACAGTGACTTCCAGGTAGCTAATTCCAAAGATCAGTTTTCAGTTCTCATCGTATTTGATGTCAGCAGCATTTAGCATTGTTGTTTACTCTCTCTTCCTTGAAATGCTTTTTTCTTGTCTTCCAGGTCACCATACTCTCCTAATTCCCTTCTTACTTTATTGGACTCTCCTTCTCAGAATCCTCTGCTGATTTCTCAAAAGAGAATCATAACATCTAATGTTTGGAGTGTTTCCAGAGTTTAATCCTATACCTCTTCTCTTTTCTGTTTATACCCAATTCCCTAGATTTCCCTAGATAATATCATCTAGTCTCATAGCTTTAAATATAATTTATATGACTTAAAAATTTATTATATTTCATCAATTCTGAGGCCTATATTTTTTTCAGATCTTAGCATTTTTGAAATTGGAATGCTTATGAACAATGACATCTCATAATTTAATTAATAATCTTTTTTCTTTTGGTGGCATATACATGTTATAATTGTTGGTTTTTTAAAGTATGAAACCTCGATCCAGCCCATATCTTTTTCCTGCACTTGTTTTTGTATACCCAACTGCTTCTCAACATCGAGCAGTTGTATTTGAATATCTGATAAGCATTTAAAACTTAATCTGTTCAAACTTAATATGTCCTGTTCTCCAGCAAGACATCATCTCTACGTCTGTCTTATCATTTTATTTTGTATTTCTTTTAGAGAACATTCCATATTTTGCCTTATCTTTAATTTTTCCTTTATAAAATCACAGCTTAACACTAAGGAAATACATACTAAATGAAAACAACATTATCTGGGCGCGGTGGCTCACGCCTGTAATCCTAGCACTCTGGGAGGCTGAGGCAGGAGGATTGCTTGACTTCAAGAGTTCAAGACCAGCCTGAGCAAGAGCAAGACCCTGTCTCTATTTTATAATTAAAAAGAAACAAAAAACACGACATACAGTAGAGTTGATACAACAGCTTATCAATTCAACTTTTTACATTTTCTGTTTACCAGAAACTTCAAAATAAACATAGAAATTCATAGACTATAGGCAGTTCACACTAAGTTTTGTTTGGTCCACCCAGTGTTGGTCTGCACAAAGTTCTAAGTTTGTTAGGTGCCAACACTTAAAAACTGGGAAATTTTACTTAAAAATCTCAAGTTTCAGGTTTCCCTGGGAATAATAAATATATTTGGCTGTGCCAGCCTTGCATCTTCATATAACAGTGATCAGCTAAAGCTGAGAAGTAATCATACCCTTGAATGAGAGACATGCTCTCCAGTTCAACAGTCCCTGTCACTCTCTTTGTCTTTTCAACATTAAGATTTTAATGACAGGAGGCCGAGGTGGGCGGATTGCTCGAGGTCAGGAGTTCGAAACCAGCCTGATCAAGAGTGAGACCCTGTCTCTACTATAAACAGAAAGAAATTAATTGGCCAACTAATATATATAGAAAAAATTAGCTAGGCATAGTGGTGCATGCCTGTAGTCCCAGCTACTCAGGAGGCTGAAGCAGGAGGATTGCTTGAGCCCAGGAGTTTGAGGTTGCTGTGAGCTAGGCTGACGCCACAGCACTCACTCTAGCCTGGGCAACAAAGTGAAACTCTGTCTCAAAAAAAAAAATAAAAAAAGATTTTAATGACAGTTGACATTATTGTCTGGCCTACTTAACTCTTTTATGTTACCTTCCTTGTTCCTGTGCTTATTTTAGTTTGTAACCCTAGCTCCAGAAGAATATGTACATTTCCTTTAAAATGGTGGTTAGGTGAATAAGCGATCATCTGAAAACCTAAGCTGTATGAAGCTTAACCTGATTTCACTGAAGTATTGACATTAACTCCTTTATTAATTTAATATTGGACAAATTATTGAATAACAGTTTTTAAACAATTTTTTTTTTATTTGTTGTGTAGATGCTCCTCCTCCTACTTGGGAACAGCTAGAAAATGGGCTGGTTGCTGTGCGTACAGTAGTACATGGACTGGTTGATTATATCCAGAACCACAGCAAAAAAGGAGCAGATCAACAGCAGGTAAGAAAGAAGTTTAAAACTTAGAGGTAATCCACTGTAGGTATACCTACAGGTATAAAGCCAAGAAGATGGCATGAATATTTTGAGGCTCTGACTGTAGAAACTATAAATTACCTTAGCATGGTTAGCAGTCAGTTTACTGAATTAACCTAGTAATTTTATCTGACAACATTGAAATTAAAAAGTCTTCATTAACTAAAGTTATGATGCTGAGGTCACTGTTCACATTGTGTATGGCAGCATTTGATGGAGAAAATAGACTCAGTGCTAAAGTATATTTAATTTAAATATGATTATTCTCTTTAGTTTGTATTATATTTCAATTTGACAATAGGTGTCACTTTTTAGTGCTAATGCTATATCTCCCAATACTAAGATTTTTCATTCATAATATCTGTTATGCCAGTGGACCAAATTTTCCTCCAAGTTTTAAAACAAAATATATATGACAGTAAAATATAACTTATAGGTCAAGTTTGAAGTTTTATTTTGTCCTCAGGATTTATATTAGGTTCATTAGATCTTTCATCTTACAGTAGTAAGCCTGTAAACTTAAAACTCTTAATTTACCTGGCTCAGGTAAGTATTAACAACATGTTATTCAATATTCCTTTTTTGCTTGAGAGACAAGAAAGATAAAAAGTATCCTGCTAAGTAGAATAATCTGGATATGATTTTCCTAACCAATATAAACATAGATCAAAGCTTTATTTTATGATTAAGAAACAAAAGAAAGGATTCTGGGAGACTGAGAGGGGAGGCTTGCTTGAGGCCAGGAGTTTGAGACCAGCCTGGGCAACATAGCGAGACCTTGTCTCCACAATAAAAAAAAAAAATTAGCCCAAGTGGTGGTACACGCCTGTAGTCCCAATTACTCAGCAGGCTGAAGCAGGAAGATCACTTGAGCCCAGTGAGCTATGATCATACCATTGCACTCCAGCCTAGGTGACAGAGCAAGACACGGTCTTTAAAAAAAAGAAAAGAAATAAAAGAAAGTAAAAACCTACAGTTTTAACTCCCTATTCCGTTAGACATCATGAAGAAAATAACAAAAATAATGAAACTGACCTTTAAAGTCTGCCATATAGTGATAAAATGCACTAAATTTTGTTCAATGTAGTGTTGTGTTTCATATCTCATTAAATCTTTCCAAATCTTCCCTCCTGCCTTATCTCTGAGTTGTAAATAATAAGTCTTATTTGTACTTTTGGAGATATTTTAAGTCCTCGGCATATTCTTCTGCATAGCAAGAATTGGTTACAGAATATTCTTTGATTATAAGGCCTTTTGTAGATTTTTGTGGTGTGTTATAAGGAAACATATGTATAGCTATATTGAACATTTTACAAAACAAATATTAGAAAAGAGTTTATATATTTGAAAGTCTTAAACTCCACTGGTTTGTTTTTGCATTATAAAATGTGGAAAAGTCATCACAGAGCCCCCATGTGATTTATCCAAAAATTTATATGATGCTACTTGTTTGAGAACTAATATCAACATGTCAGAAAAATCAGGACTATCTTCTTTCTATTTATTTGTTTATTTTGGAATCTCTGAGACTTGAAACAGAATGACTTTCCATCACTTTTACTCTGAGTAGCCTAGGTAATTGTGAAATAGTCTAAATTATTCATCTAGATTGTCAGGATCCTAAAATGATAACACAAAGTTTTTGTTTTGGGGTGTTTTTTTCTAAATGTCTAATATTTTGATTTTGGTCTTAGCCTCCACAGCATAGCAAATATAAAACATACATGTGTCGAGATATGAAGCAGAGAGGAGGATGCCCTCGTGGGGCCAGCTGTACATTTGCACATTCACAGGAGGAACTAGAAAAGTAAGTGTGAAAGTTGTGAGACTCAGCCTTTGGAATAACTTGGTAACATTAAGAAAGACATAATGACTAGTTGCTTTCTGTTCAGCAAATAGGAAATCTTTAGAGTGTAATACAGCTTCAGTATCTATAATCTAAAAATTTAACACGCTCCAAAATTTGAAACTTTTTGAGCACAGACATAACACCACAAGTGGAAAATTCCACACTTGCCCTCATGTGATGAGTCACAGTCAAATCTTAGTTTCATACACAGAATTATTAAAAATATTTTACAAAATTACCTTCAGGCTATGTGTATAAGGTATATACGAAACATAAATGAATTTCATGTTTAGACTTGGATTCTATCACAAGGACATCTCGTTATGTATTATGAAATATTATGCAAATATTCCAAAATCCAAAAATCAAAATTTGAAAAACTGTGGTTTCAAGCATTTTGGTTAAGTGATATTGAACATGTACATAATTTTACAAAAACAAAAGCAGTTTCTTCAGATTTCATTACATCATGCCCATAGATAGGAAACTGTTTTATGGTTAACTGAATCTAAAAGTGAGTCATTTTCACTACAAGAAAAAATTAAAACTCTAATAATTTTAATCAATTTTAACTAATTGCATAATGTATTTTCAAGGGAAAAATATTCACTTGGCTCAATTTCTCAGGTTCTTTCAAACTCAAGGACCACATAATTCCAGTGATCTCAATTTTTCAGCACAGTGAAGAAAGGAGGGAAAATGTCTTAATTTTTTTAAAAAGCTAGTGTAACACACTAAATTTGACAAAGACAACACAACTGAAGAAAACTGCAAATCCATTTAACATATCACTAGTAATCACTTTAGTACCAGCATTGACTATAGTTGATGGCCACAGATGAATGCGCACAGCCGAGCATACTATAGTCGATAGCCACAGATGAATCTGCACAGCGACTTTAGCCGACAGCTGTGATGTGACTTTTCTAATTTTTCATTTATCAAAATAAAATTGTAAACATTTAAAAATATCGTAATGAAAACATATATGTAAATGTTACCTATTCTGATGTACATTACAAGTAAAGCTGCCTGTAAAGTAAAACAAGCTTTCAGTGCTTTAAAGCTTTCCTCATTACACAAGAGCAAAACAGATTTGTCATCAATGCACAGCACAAACTATCGTGCGGACTATGATTGCCGGCTGTGGGCAAGGTTTCACAGCCAGTGAGCGCGGTACCAAAGTGGTTAAAAATACCCAAAATTAAAATAGAATTCAGTAATACATTAAAATAGATACCATGACTTAGTGCAAAGATCATATAGTATAATGGTAACATAACTTAAGAAAAGAAAGACTCATGTGATCATATGCAAAGATGCCAAAAGGCATTTAAATAAAATTGTGAAGTATAGATGAGAATCCCTTAATGCAACAGAAATAGCTTAGATGCTTTCTCACTATGACAATGAATTATATTTTAAAAGCCAGCATGGTAGTATAATGCTTAATTAATGAAATTTTTGATTCAATCTCATTAAAGTCAAGAATAAAGCAAAATTTTCTAGTATTTTTCCACTAGTAATTAATAGTAAAACTTTCTACTATTAGTTAATACTCTGGAAGTAGAGCTAATATATGTAAAAAAACAGAATAAAATAGCTGTAAGGTTATGTGAAAAACTCGAAGTGCTAAAAACAAAAGAGGAGAGAATTTAGTAAAAAGGTGGCAAGTTTTAAAAAATTACAAAAATGAATTGCATTCATATAAACTAAAAAGGGAAGCATAACCAATTAAAAAATAAAACATCCAAATAAGTTTGTATGAAAAGAAACTCCAATTTTTTATTCTAATGTTGCGCTTTGTAAAATCGGGGGCATTTAAAAAATTAAATCCCGAGTAGAATAAAGGAATGGAGAAAAAAGCAAGTGAGTGCAAAGGGTTAAAGATCCTTTTTGAATTAACAACAAGAAAAAAGACAAATACCATAGGGTAAATTTGTAAGAAATACTCAGGACTTTTAATTGAATTAATAAGCTACTGAGAGGCTGGGTGCAGTGGCTCACGCCTGTAATCCTAGCACTCTGGGAGGCTGAGGCGGGAAGATTGCTTGAGGTCAGGAGTTCTAAACCAGCCTGAGCAAGAGCGAGACCCCCGTCTCTACTATAAATAGAAAGAAATTAATTGGCCAACTAATATGTATATATAAAATTAGCCGGGCATGGCGGCGTATGCCTGTAGTCGCAGCTACTCGGGAGGCTGAGGCAGGAGGATCACATGAGCCTAGGAGTTTGAGGTTGCTGTGAGCTAGGCTGATGCCACGGCACTCATTCTAGCCTAGACAACAAAATGAGACTCTGTCTCAAAAAATAAATAAATAAATAAATAAATAAATAAATAAATAAATAAGCTACTGAGGAACATAAGAGAAGAATTGAATAAATATACTGTGTTCTTAGATAAGGCTGGCATTATAAAAGCTTTATTTTCTCTTCAATTAGACAGTAAATTCTGTGAAATCCCAATTTAAATCTCAACACGATAATTATTAAGAGCCTAATAAAATTATTCATTGGAAAAGAATAAATATGTAAAAATAGCCAGGAAAATTCTGAAAAAGAAGTCTTTGACAGGGACTAAACTAATAACTTTTAACTTATATCATGAACTAAAGTGAATATAAAGACTATGGTATTACATAGGAATAGATCAGTGAAGTACAATAGAGAATCTATAAAAAGTTTGAGATACATACAGGAACTTTGCATGTGTATGAAAGGTGGCATTTCCTATCAATGGCAAAAAAAAAGAAATGATGATGAAATAACTGCTATCCATTTGAAAAATAGAGTCAGATTCTTACCTTAATTTTTATGCCAAAATGAACCCTGGATGTATCAGAGATTTAAATATTTAGGAAGGAAACCATGGAGTACTAAAAGGTTTTTTGTTTTGTTTTTCAGTTGTTAATTTTAAAGAAGGAAAGAATTTTAAGAACAACAACCCAGTATCCATAAAAGAAAAGATTGATAAATTTGATTACATAAAAATTAAATACTAAGATATGGTACAAACACCACAGTTTACCAAAAAGGAAAAAAAAACACAAAACGATTAGGGGGAAATGACATACATAGGGCTGATAGCCCTAATATAAAATAAGCTCTTACAAATCTTAAAGAAAGAAACAAATAGATTTATAGATCAGAAACATAAATAGACAATTTACAGAGGAAATACCAATGATCAGTAAACATGTGAAAACGATGTTTAACCTCACTAATTGTTAAATAAATGCAACTTAAAGCAACCTTAAAGCAACCTAATCAAAATATTTTTGGATTACCAAATAACAGAGACTGATACTAACTAATATTTGATGAAGTATTGAAAGACATCTTCATTCTTTATTAGTAGGAGTTATAATAACTTTAGAGAGCACTATAGCATTATAAAAATTTCTACTTTGCCCACCCTTTGACCTAGAAATTCTGTTTCTGCTGACTTACACAAGGATGCAAGTACATAATTATCCATTAGAACATTGTTTTAATAGCAAGAAAGTAGAATAAAATAACCTAAAATGAACTGACATAAAGGAATATCCAAGATTAAATGAGGGAAAAAATTACTAAGCAGTAGTGTATAACCCTATTTCTGTATATAACAACCTTATATGCATATGCATGTGAATATTAAGCTAATATATAGAGGGTAAAATCTGTGTGATGATATACCAAACTCTTAACAGTGGTTACCTCTGAAGGATAGTCTTCCTCCCACCCCCAGAAATTTAAATACGGAAAACTTGGAAAAATAGCATTACTCTTACGGAGGTTTATTTCTGAAATTGTTGTTAAAAATGCACTAGCAGGCCGGGCGCTGTGGCTCACGCCTGTAATCCTAGCTCTTGGGAGGCCGAGGCGGGCGGATTGCTCAAGGTCAGGAGTTCAAAACCAGCCTGAGCAAGAGCGAGACCCCGTCTCTACTATAAATAGAAAGAAATTAATTGGCCAACTGATATATATATAAAAAAAAAATTAGCCGGGCATGGTGGCGCATGCCTGTAGTCCCAGCTACTCGGGAGGCTGAGGCAGAAGGATCACTCAAGCCCAGGAGTTTGAGGTTGCTGTGAGCTAGGCTGACGCCACGGCACTCACTCTAGCCTGGACAACAAAGTGAGACTCTGTCTCAAAAAAAAAAAAAAAAAAAAATGCACTAGCAGTTGTAAATGGATTTGCTTTTATTGTTGAGGAACAAGGATCCTGGAATCTGGTGGTGGCTTAAATTTTTTTCCTTTGGTTAGATTTTAGAATCTATGTGCCTTTTACCCCACAGCATCTGTTTAAATTTAGGCTGTTATTATGTATTATTTCCATTAACTTTTAAAATAATTTGTTCTGTATAGGTACACATAACATCAACAGCTCTGAAGCAGTTACAATAAGAGCCAGTATTTTTAATTATTTAAATTTTTTAATCGAGTTAATGGTAAATTTTTCATAGTGCACAGTGGCTTTGTTTTTGTTTTATTCTTGATTTTTAACATAGAGCACACTATATCCCAAGGCATTTGAGGGAAAGCTAAAGTAAAATATTTCAGAAACTGTCTTCTAAAGATTTTTCTACTAGCTCCTCTAGTAAGTTTTAGAAATAGAAGTTTCAACAAAGGTACATTATAGTAAAAATATTTATAGCATAATTTATAATGTTATAACTATTACACATTTTTATTTTTTTTTTTATTTTGGGAACCATCTGCAGGATAAACTATTACACATTTTTATGAGGAATTTTGTACTTACACAGTATGTCTTGCTGCTTGATATTTTATGGAAAATATGCATATAGACACAGTGAATTCTCAAGTTGATTTAATCCAATGTTTTGAGAGAGATTTTCTAGAAAATACTGGTCTTACATACATTTTAATTCTTGGTTTTGCTTTCATATTTGGTTTTCAGTTTGTGTCTTTGCTTTTTCTATAGATTTCGCAAGATGAACAAGCGCCTGGTTCCCAGAAGACCCCTGAGTGCCTCTTTGGGTCAACTTAATGAGGTGGGCCTGCCTTCAACAGCTATCCTTCCAGATGAAGGTGCAGTGGATCTGCCTAGCAGAAAACCTCCTGCTCTGCCAAATGGAATTGTATCAGCAGGGAATACAGTAACACAGCTTATTCCACGAGGGACGGACCCCAGCTATGATTCCAATCTGAAACCAGGAAAGATAGATCATCTAAGCAGTAGTGCTCCTGGATCCCCTCCTGACCTGTACGTAATTTTTCCTAACTCTTACTTAAAAGTTCTTTTCTGTAAACATTAAGTAGAAGGAAGAAGGAATAATTAATGTTTTGGTTTTTAAAAAGCAAAAACGAACTGATTTCTTATGGCCTTGATTTTGTTGTTTTTTACTTTTATTTCCCATGGTAGTGATATTTATTTATTTATTTATTTTTTTGAGACAGAGTTTTGCTTTGTTGCCCAGGCTAGAGTGAGTGCCGTGGTGTCAGCCTAGCTCACAGCAACCTCAAACTCCTGGGCTCAAGCAATCCTTCTGCCTCAGCCTCCCAAGTAGCTGGGACTACAGGCATGTGCCACCATGCCCGGTTAATTTTTTCAATATATATTAGTTGGCCAATTAATTTCTTTGTATTTATAGTAGAGACGGGGTCTCGCTCTTGCTCAGGCTGGTTTCAAACTCCTGACCTCGAGCAATCCTCCTGCCTCGGCCTCCCAGAGTGCTAGGATTACAGGCATGAGTCACCGTGCCCAGCCAATGCATTCTGTTTATTAAAAATCACTACTGGTCAGGTGTGGTGGCTCACACTTGTAATCCTAGCACTCTGGGAGGCCGAGGCGGGAAGACTGCTTGAGGTCAGGAGTTCGAAACCAGCCTGCGCAAGAGCGAGACCCGTCTCTACTATAAATACAAAGAAATTAATTGGCCAACTAAAAATATATAGAAAAAATTAGCCGGGCATGGTGGCGCATGCCTGTAGTCCCAGCTACTTGGGAGGCTGAGGCAGAAGGATTGCTTTAGCCCAGGAGTTTGAGGTTGCTGTGAGCTAGGCTGACGCCACGGCACTCACTCTAGCCTGGGCAACAAAGCGAGACTCTGTCTCAAAAAAAAAAACTGCATGCATAAAATAAGATAAAAATTTGCAAATTCTATAGGCAGGATGTCTATTAGAATAAACCATTTCCCAAACTGTGGTAATCATTTTTACTTGTTACAATTTATGTATGTTGGGAGTATTTTAGACACCTTAAACTTGACGTGCATAATCTTATTCCCTTAGGCTAGAATCTGTCCCTAAGAGTATTTCTGCCTTACCTGTAAATCCACATCCTGTACCTCCAAGGGGGCCAACAGATCTGCCTGCCATGCCTGTCACCAAACCACTTCAGATGGTCCCACGAGGTTCTCAGTTATATCCAGCACAGCAGGCAGATGTTTATTATCAGGATCCTCGAGGAGCTGCTCCGCCATTCGAACCAGCACCTTATCAACAGGGTAATGATCTTTCATTTATGTTGCTCATAAAAGTTATGAAAGCTATTCAGATAAGAGTGATCATTTACACAGTGGCCTCTTTAAGATAGGTAAATGCATTTTTTAACACTTTGGAAAAATAGACTTTTGTGGTCAACTGAATAATATGAAATAAATAAATTAATGCAATCAATATCAAACTGCTTTATCTACTAAAAGTAGTGTAGTATGTTCATATATTTATGGAAGTAACAAGTCACCCAAGTAGAAAATGGACATTTACTGAGTAAGGTAGTATATATATTCTCACCAAAATTTTCTTCAAACATGAAAAAAGAATTAATATTCTAGTAGTTGTAAACTAAACACAGTACATTTTTCTTCCTTTTAATTATAAATATTATTTTCTGGGCCCATAACATATATGAAAAAATGCAGCATATATACCTTTAGAGATTTTAACATATAGAATCAATAATGATAAAGGATAGAAAACTATACATTTGTGTGCATAGTGTATGCATGTGTGTGGTATGTATGAATGCGTTTGTTAAAAGTTGATCAGTTTTGGTGTTTAATATTGGCTTGGTAGAATTGAAAGACCCAAGGGAGATCACTGAGAACTTCAGGAATCAAAAAGACTTCATGGAAGAAATTCCCCAAATTAGAAATATTGGAAATAGAAAGATTTATGAATAGATTGCAAAGATGAGAGTCTAGAATCAAGAAGAAGCTAGGAGGCTGTTAATCCAGGTGTGAATATTGAGGCTTGAATTAATCTGGTGGGAAAGGACAATTAGAAAATAGACAAATTTGAAAAATTAGCTAGATTTAATGAGAATGCTAGGTATGAAGAATGAAGGAAAGGAGATAAACTAAAGTTTCACTTACACAATTCATATGTAAAATAAACACTGAATGATTTTAAAGCTGAAGTGTTAGATCTCTCTGTCAGAGGAAATATAGTGCTGTTATTTTTAAAATCAGAGTAGATTAAAGGTTCTCTCCATTTCCTCTTCGCAAGGCTGTCATTTAATTTTGATTCAGAAATGTTGTCTTCTCTACATTCAAAACAGAAGTTTTTAATTGATATGACATTACTGATGCATGCAGAATATGATATAACTTGATTTGTATGTTCCTTTTGACTATCCATTACAGGAAAAATCCAACTATTTTTATTGAAGTGGCCAATATGTAACTTGAAATACACTGTTTATCAATCAGTTCAATTGTAGATAACAGAAATTCTAGCTATATTAAAGCAGAAAGAAGTGCAAGAGTTAGGTGCCTACAATATTGGTGGAAGTACTAGAGAAGCAAACAATGCTGCAGAACTAGCTCCCAAGGGAACCTGTTAAAATGAAAACACAGTAGAAAACTTCTGTCCTAACTGCTGGTTCCAGAATCACATTGATAAGGTATTGCTATGACTGTTGGCTCAAGAACTCTAGAGGCAAGCAGTAGCTTTAGATCTGCACCTGCAAAGTGAACTTGTGTGTGCTACATTTCTTTTCAGTTTCACATTCAAAACTCATTTAAGTGATTGATTTGTGGAACCCGAACTTCAAGGATGTCTGTGAGATATAGTTTTTTGTTTGCCAATGTCTGCATTGCCTTAAGACACACACACCAGAAGAGGATCAAATAGTGAGAGCCAGTCTATTGTAGATTATAAGTAGATTAGTTTTTTCAGTGACCTTTTTTTTCATGCAACACTATTTTGAAGACATCAGTGACTTTTAAGGATAAGTTTTGTTTGTTATTTTTCAAAAAGCTAACCTGATTATGTAAGTAGAGGGAATGCTTCTAAAGAAATAAGTGGATTAATAAATACTTCAGTGTTTCAGTATTTTAAAAGGAAAAGTCATATAGAGAAATAGATTGGCTCATTGTTGCTTTTGGTTCCTCTTTCGTATTGTACAGGTATGTACTATACTCCACCACCACAATGTGTGTCCCGCTTTGTCCGACCACCACCATCTGCTCCTGACCCAGGTCCTCCATACTTGGATCATTATCCACCCTACCTCCAAGATCGTGTAGTAAACTCTCAGTATGGCACACAGCCACAACAGTACCCACCTATGTACCCACCTCACTATGATGGCCGGCGAGTATACCCTGCTCAGTCTTACACAAGAGAAGAGATATTCCGAGAAAGCCCAATACCCATTGAGATTCCACCTGCAGCAGTACCATCCTATGTACCAGAATCCAGAGAAAGATTCCAACAGATAGAGGGTTACTATCCAGTGGCTCCTCATCCAACTCAGATCAGACCTTCATACCTCAGAGTATGCTATGATTTTTATTCTTATGACATAGACTTAATTTGATTATTGCTTTTAGTGATTCCTTACTTTTTTTGCCATGACAGTAACCCTATGACCAATTCTTTTTTTTCTAAGAATGCTGCTTCTGGCCAGGCGCTCACGCCTGTAATCCTAAAACTCTGGGAGGCCAAAGCAGGCAGATCGTTTGAGCTCAGGAGTTCGAGACCAGCCTGAGCAAGAGCGAGACCCCATCTCTACCAAAACTAGAAAAAATTAGCTGGGCATAGTGGCATATGCCGATAGTCCCAGCTACTTGGGAGGCTGAGGCAGAAGGATGGCTTGAGCCCATGAGTTTGAAGTTGCTGTGAGCTAGGCTGATGCCACGGTAGTCTAGCCGGGGCAACAGAGTGAAACTCTGCCTCAAAAACAAAAGAACAATATAGAGACATGGGGATTTAAAAAAAGGAATGCTGCTTCTTTCTAATATTTTCATAATTTGGGTAGATTTTTTATTGTTTTGTTTTATTTTGTTTGGAGTCGAGATCTTGCTGTGTTGTCCAGGCTAGGTTCAAGTGATCCTTCCATGTCAGCCTCATGAATAGTTTGGATTACAGGTGCATGCCACTGTGCCTGGGTTGGTTATTATTTTTAAAATTATTAATGGGGGGCCAGGTGAAGTGGTTCATGCCTGTAATCCTAGCACTCTGGGAGGCTGAGGTGGGTGGATTATTTGAGCTCAGGAGTTCCACACCAGCCTAAGCAGGAGCTAGACCTCATCTCTACTAAAAATAGAAAGAAATTAGCTGGACAACTAAAAATACATAGAAAAAATTATCAGGGCATGGTGGCGCATGCTTGTAGTCCCAGCTACTTGGGAAGCTGAGGCAGAAGGATCACTTGAGCCCAGGAGTTTGAGGTTGCTGTGAGCTAGGCTGATGCCACGGCACTCTAGCCCGGACAACAGAGTGAGATTCTGTGTCACACACACACAAAAAAAATTATTAATAGGGGGAATAATTTCACCTCCCCCCTACTAACCATTCTTAGCTTATGAATTATAGATGGTTTTATTAATTCTAGATCTACTTGGAAGTTATTGTAAAGTAAAAGAAACCTAAATTTAGCTCTTTGGGAAATCTTGAGAGTTTTGGAGGGTTTTGTTAGTTTTGCTTTGTTCTGTTAAAGTCTCGGTATTTCCAGTTAAGATGGATATACACACTGCTTCTTATTTAAAATATATGCTAAATGAGTTAATATGTTCTGAAATTCTTTTCAATTTTAACTAATGTTTCCATTTTCAGGAGCCTCCTTATAGCCGGCTTCCTCCTCCTCCCCAGCCCCATCCTAGTCTAGATGAACTACATCGCCGGCGAAAGGAAATAATGGCCCAGCTAGAGGAAAGAAAGGTTATCTCTCCACCTCCTTTTGCACCTTCACCAACATTGCCTCCTACCTTCCATCAAGAGGAAGTAAGCACATCAATTTTAGTCTTGTTTATCAATTTTTCCTTTATTATTTTGTGGATGTGTGTGTGTGTGTATGTGTGTATATGTGTGTGTGTGTGTCCTGTTTGAGTAATCTTTGCCTATTCGTAAGGTTATGAAGATATTTTCTTGTGTTTTCTTCTAAGAGGCTTATTATTTTATTCACATTCAGATCTATAATCCATCTAGAATTGATTTCTGTATATAATGTGTTGAGAGTCAAAGTCTTTTTTTTTTTTCCCCATAAGGATATCTCATTGACCAAGCACCATATAATGAAATGAATTTCCTTTCCCCAGTGTTCTGCAGTACCCTTTGGCATAATAAAGTGACCATATGTGTTTCTGGACTCTATTCTGTTCCATTGATCTGTTTCTATACTTGCACCAGTATCACATTCTCTTAATATAGTTTTATCATAAGTCTTGGTATGTGGTGGTGTATGTTTTCCAGTATTGTTCTTTAAAAATCAGCATGTTGAGCCGGGCGCGGTGGCTCTCGCCTGTAATCCTAGCACTCTGGGAGGCTGAGGCGCGTGGATTGCTCGAGGTCAGGAGTTCAAAACCAGCCTGAGCAAGAGTGAGACCCCCGCCTCTACTATAAACAGAAAGAAATTAATTGGCCAACTAATATATATAGAAAAACTTAGCCGGGCATGGTGGCGCATGCCTGTAGTCCCAGCTACTTGGGAGGCTGAGGCAGGAGGATTGCTTGAGCCCAGGAGTTTGAGGTTGCTGTGAGCTAGGCTGACGCCACGGCACTCACTCTAGCCTGAGAAAACAAAGCGAGACTCTGTCTCTCAAAAAAAAAAAAAAAAAAAAATCAGCATGTTGATATCCACAGAAGCATCTTCTGCAATTTTGGATTAGGATTATGTTGAATCTCTGGATCTATACTGTCCAATATGGTCGTCATTAGCCACATGTGACTATTTTTTTTTTTTTTCTTTTTTCCGATGTTCTCCCCACATGTGACTATTGAGTGCGTAAAATGTAACTAGTTCAAATTCAGATGTTCTATAATCATAAGATACACACTGGATCTCACAAGAATGGAAAAACAAACACCACATGTACTCATTATTAAATTGGAATATGATTTATGATCAACACTCGTGTGTACATAAGGTAGTAAAATTAAATGGAAATCAAGCAGGTGGGAGCTGGGAAGAGGGGTGGGTAAATTCATACCTAACGGGTATAATGTATACTATCTGGGTGATGGACACACTTACAACTTTGACTCACTGTACAAAAGTAATTCATGTAACCAAAATGTTTGTACCCCCATAATATTCTGAAATAAAAAATAATAAAAAGTTAAAAAATAAAAAGAGTAAGGTAATACACTGGTCTGAAGATTTAGTACCAAAAAAGTAAAATATTTCCTTGATATTTTTAATATCTTGGGTATGTCAAGTTAAGTAAAATGTATTATTTGCTGGGCACAGTGGCTCATGCCTGTAATCCTACCATTCTGGGAGGCCAAGGTGGGAGGATCACTTGAGTTCAGGAGTTCGAGACCAGTCTGAGCAAGAATGAGACCTTGTCTCTGCTAAAAATAGAAAAAAATTAGCCGGTGTGGTGGCGTGCACTATAGTCCCAGCCATGGGGGAGGCTGAGGCAGGAGGGTCCCTTGAGCCCAGGAGTTTGAGGTTGCTGTGAGCTAGGCTGACACCTTGGCACCCTAGCCTAAGAAAAAAAAAAAAAGTAGTGTTAAAATTATTTCACTTGTTACCATTTTCTTAATGTGGCTACTAGAAATTTTAAATTTTTGTATGTGAGTCATGTATTTGTATTGGATAGTGTTGTTTTAGATCAATATGATAAGAAATGACATCTTTCTAATAAGTCTCCATGGGCTGGGCGCGGTTGCTCATGCCTGTAATCCTAGCTTTGTGAGGCCAAGGCAGGAGGATTACTTGAGCTCAGGAATTCGAGACCAGCCTGAGCAAGAATGAGATCCAGTCTCTACTAAAAGTAGAAAAAATTAGCCAGTCAACTAAAAATGAAACAAAAAATAAGCTGGGCTTGGTGGCACATGCCTGTAGTCCCAGCTACTTGAGAAGCTGAGGCAGAAGGATTGCTTGAGCCCAGGAGTTTGAGGTTGCTGTGAGCTGGACTGACGCCATGGCACTCACTCTAGCTAACCTGGGCAACAAAGCAAGACTCTGTCTCAAAATAAGTCTTCATGAACATAATGTTCCCCTGTATTTATTTGGTTCTTTTTCATACTTAATACTTACTTTAGCATCTTTCTTACTGTAAATTAAATTTATTTCTAGGTAGCTAATGTTCTTTGAAACTACTTTAAATAGAATTATTTTTGAAATTTCATTTTCTTTGTTACTAATATAGAGAAATTAAATAGATTTTCATGTATCGACCCTTCTATTTAGCAAGCTTGCTAAATTTCTTTATTCTAACATTTGCTAGTGGATTCTTTTGGATTTTCTGTGCATACATTCATGTCCTCTGTATAATAATTTTTTCCCCTTTTCATTTTTTTCTCATCTTGTACTTCAGTATAATGCTGAATAAAAGTGGTGATAGCAGATATTCTTGACTCATTTCTGATCTTTGAGTAGATGGAGCTTTTATTAATTTGACATTATGATGTTTGCTGAAGGTTATCAGATTAATGAAGCGTCCCTCTATTCCTGGTTTTGGAATTTTTTTGAATAAATGAGACATGTTAAATATTTAATTAACTCAATAATGAGGAAACCAACAGGATAGTAAAATTGGTTTAAAGAATAGGAAAGATAGGTGATAGGTAGTGAAAGTCAGAACAAAAACAAGGACAATGAAATAGGTTGCTTCATAAAAGAGAACTGGTTTGGAGAGTCATCTTCTTTGTATTTTTATAAGACAGTTCTAACAGTTATGAATGAGTGTTGTCTTACTATCTTTTTAATGTCTATATGGTCTATAATAATGCCAGTTTTTCCATTTCTGATATTAGTAATTTTTTTTCTTTATCAATCTTGCTAGGAATTTATCAGTCTTTTTTTTTTTTTGAGACAGTCATTCTGTTGCCCGGTCTAGAGTGCCATGGCATCAGCCTAGCTTACAACACCCTCAAACTCCTAGGCTCAAGTGATCTTTCTGCCTCAGCCTCCCAAGTAGCTGGGACTACAGGCATGCACCACCATGCCCAGCTAAAAATTTTTCTATATATTTTTAGTTATCCAGCTAATTTCTTTCCATTTTCAATAGAGATGGGGTCTCACTTTTGCTCAGGCTGATCTTAAACTCCTGACCTTGAGCAATTCTCCACCCTTGGGCTCCCAGAGTGCTAGGATTACAGGCGTGAGCCCCTGCACCCAGCCTCCATTATCAGTTTTACTTGTCTTTTTGAAAAGCCAACTTTTTGCTTCTTTGATCTTATTTAGTTTGTTTTGTTGATTGTATATACTACCTCAGCTTATAATGTGTATATGTCTTTTTACAAGGAGTAAAATAAGTTTTCTTAGCAGGATTGCAGTTATTATATAAGGAACATAATCTTGTTCTGGTCCTTGCCATTTGAGTAAATTACAAAAAGGAAAAAAAAAATGTTAAAAAAGAGGCCAAGCTTGGTGGCTCACGCATTTAATCCTAGCACTCTGGGAGGCCGAGGTGGGCGGATTGTTTGAGCCCTGGAGTTCGAGACCAGCCTGAACAAGAGCGAGACCCCATCTCTACTAAAAAAAAATAGAAAGAAATTAGCTGGACAACTAAAAATATATATAAAATTAGCCAGGCATGGTGGTGCATGCCTGTAGTCCCAGCTACTCAGGAGGCTGAGGTAGTAGGGTTGCTTAAGCTCAGGAGTTTGAGATTGCTGTGAGCTATGATGATGGTCACACACTCTAGCCCGGGCAACAGAGTGAGACGTGTCTCAAAAACTAAAAAATTAAGGGAACAATATCTTGTACCTTTATTATAGAATTCTGATTCCAAATGTTTGCTAACTGACAAATTATTAATGATAAGCAATAAAAATTGAGACTAAGTAACATCACACCATTAGTAATCAGCGTAACCTGTTAGGTTATGAAGTTGATCACTAAAAGAATTTACTCACAGTATCTAGCTTTCCCATCTAAATACCTTTGGATGAAATTTTCACAACAATGTTAAGTTATTAATAAAGTCATAACATCTTCTGTTAATGTAGTCTACTTGTAAAGTGTAAACAACTGTATGTATGTTTCAAAGTGTATTATTGGGAGATTGTATATCGAGAACTTTGTTATGCATACTTTATAAAGAAATATGACATGTGAAAACTGAAGCTGTTTTCAAATCAAAACATACTTAACTATTTAAGTTCAATGTGTCTTTCATTGTTTGATCTTTTTAAGTTACCTTTTTTTAGGCCCTTTTCTGGTAACTCTGAGGTAGTTCTTCATTGGAAAGCATAATAAACTTACCTCTAGTGGTGTGGTAAAGATTAAATGAGACATAGCATCTAGATATAGTAGGCATTCAGAATAATAACTATTCATATATTATTTTTATTTCAATAAAATTTAGTGTTTGCCTGATATTAAGGAACTTTATCTAGAATTCATTAATAACTGATATTCAAGTATATATTTAACCTCAGCTGATTACAAACATCATATACATACGTTGTACAATTCATAAACAAAAAATCAAATAGAATAAAATAATACAGAAAATTATACATATCAAGAAAATCATACAAATAATTTACATATCTAAATATGTACAAGTTATAATTAACAATAATTCAGCTATATAATTTGTGATTGAAAATATATAAAAAAATAACATTATTAGTAATAGAACAACATAATAATAGAATAATATATATAAATAGAATCCAGAATGTAAATAAAATAATAAATAACATAAATTATACATAAATAAAGATAAAATAGATAACACCCAAATACAAAGAATAACATAATAGTTATGTATCTATTCCGTCAAACATTTCTTCTAGTGTTAGGAAACATTTAAAATAGATCTAAGACTATAATAAAAAATACAGCAATATATATGAGACTGTGTATCACCCTATCAGTGCTATAGACACTAGTAACTTATCTCTCCATCTAGCTATAATGTTTATCTGTTTAACCAAGCTTCCCTATTGTCCCCCTCCCCTAATTCCTTCCCAACCTCTAATATCCACAGTTCTACTCAACTTCTGTGAGTCCAACATTTTTTAGCTCCCACATGTGAGTGAGAACACGATCTTTCTGTACCTGACTCATTTTACTTAACATAATGTCTTCATGTATCCATATTGTACAAGTGTGTATTTCATTATTTTTTATGGCTGAATCATATTCCATGATGTATATGTACCACATTTTCTTTATCTATTCATCTCTTGATGGACATTTAGAATGATTCCATATCTTGTAAATAGTTCTGCAGTAAACATAGGGGTGCAGATACCACTTTATACAATATTCCTTTCCTTTGGATAATACCCAGTAGTAGGATTACTGCATATCTCTCTCTTCTCTCTCTCTTCTCTCTCTCTCTCTCTCTCTCTTCTCTCTTCCCCCTCTCTCCCTCCCTCTCCGATCTCATCTCTCCATCCCTCCCTCCGCCTCTCCCTCTCTCTCCCTACCCCCCTCTCTCTTCCTCTCTCTCTCCCTACCCCCGTCTCTCTCCCTCCCTCCCTCCTGTCTCATTCTGTCACCCAGGCTGGAGTGCAGTGGTACGTTCCTAGCTCACTGCTACCTCCAGTTCCTGGACTCAAGAGATCTTCCCGCCTCAGTCCCTCAAGTAGCTGGGACTACAGGTAAATGCGAACACTCCCAGCTAATTTTTTAAATTTTTGTAGCGATAGGGTCTCATGGTGTTGCCCCTGCTGGTCACCAGCTCCTGGGCGCAGGCTATATGATACCCCTGACTTGTCCTCCCAAAGTGCTGGGATTCCTGTTATGAGCCACCATGCCTGGCATCATCATTATTTTTTAATAGGATTATTTACTGTAGTACATCTTAAGGTTTTGTGTCTATGTTTTGCACTATTTTGTTTTTATTTAACCATTTATACTGGATGTCTTTTCCGTGTCAGTATATAAATTTATCTCATACTTTTTTAACAGCTGTATAATATATTACAGTCAAGGATAAAAAAAGGTACACTGTTTTAGTAGGTCATGTGTTTTAGAAACTAGCTGTTCTACCTAAAGTTTTAAGTAGAGGAAAAATAAAAAAGGAAGTAAAATATTTAAATAGTGGTAGGACAAAGAAAAGGGAAGAGGTTATGAATAATAGAAACAGAAGTGTGGTTGAAAATGAGTGATATTGGTGAGCAGCAGACCCTCTGTCAATACAGAAGGCATCAATAATGATACCCATAAAAGGGATCATTTTAGTATAGTGGGAGGCACAGAGCCACTTAAATGTACCAATGGACCCTAGGTATCAGTATGAATATATATATAGTGTGATAAGCAACATTGAGTTGTTTAATGTGAAAGCAACATTAAGGTTTAGTTCTAGCACTGCCCTATACTGTTAGAGCCTTGGTCATATCACGAATGTTGTCTATTATGAACTTGAGGAGTTTATGAGACTGTGTACCTTAAAGCACTTTGAAAATATAAAATGTTATATAAATGTGAATGTTGCAGTTTTAGTAAAAATGCTTAAAATAGCTATTCTATTAACAGATAATTAGGGAGTTTATCTTAAGGAAATAAAATTAGGCATCTTGTTATTTTCACCCCATTGAATCAAAATAAGGACCAGAATTTATTCAAGATATGAATTGTTGTTGTTAAATAGATTTCAGTAAAAAGTCACATCATCATGCACTGTATAGATCATTGACAATTATTTTTAGGCCAGGAATGGTAGCTCATGACTTTAATCCCAGCACTGTGGGAGGCCGAGGTGGGAGGATCACTTGAGGCTAGGAGTTTGAGACCAGCCTGGGAACCATAGCAAGACTCTATGTCTATAAAAAATTTAAAAATTAGCCAAGCATGATGGTGCATGCCTATAGTCCTAGCTACTTAGGAGGCTGAAGTAGGAGGATTGCTTAAACCTAGGAGTTCAAGATTACAGAGAGTCATGATCTCACCGCTGCACTCCAGCCTGGGCGCCTGGGCAACAGAGCAAGTCACCAGCTGTCAAAGAAAAGAAGAAGAAAGAAAGAAAAAAATTGTTTTTGAATGTTCTTATTTACCTGGACCTTACTGACAGAAACATGGAAGAGAGTTTAGCAAAACTATGGCCTGGTACATATTTGATTAAATTTTGACTTCATTTAATGAAGAAAAAAGGATGAGCAAAACTCTAAAATCCTAGCTTTTCCAGTAAGGCTGTTAAAAAAAGAAAAGAAAAATGCTAGCTTGATTACTTGAAAGTTAACTGAGATACTTCTTTTTGACCTTCTGCTAACAAAGTATGAAGGCTAAATATTATTCTTCACTTATTTTATATTTTTCAGTCTATAAAAATCTTCTATCATGACACTTAAAAGTCAAATAACCATCATTATGTTGCTTTATTAGCATGGTGTTCTAAGAGAGTCTGTGCTTTCTCTGTCTTGTTACTCATAGACCAATTTCCTGTTTTTGTTTCTTTTTCTTTTTTTCCCTCATTTGTAACAGTTTTTGGATGAAGACTTGAAGGTAGCTGGGAAATACAAAGGAAATGATTATAGCCAGTACTCTCCCTGGTCATGTGACACCATTGGCTCCTACATTGGAACCAAAGATGCAAAACCAAAAGATGTTGTGGCAGCAGGGAGCGTGGAAATGATGGTATGTGTGATAGCTAAGCAGTGATTAAGATAAATCAAGATAAACCAAATAAATTTTCACCTATAACAATTTAGGTACAAATAATTGAGCTTTGCTTAAGAGCTTCAGACCATATTCTATACTCTGCAATTGAAAACTATATATTTTTTGTTTTGTTCAGGTATAAATTTTAATACTTATCTAGACAAAGAACATTTATTACTTTTCTGTGCAGGTAGCAATTTCCTAATCATTGTTTAGGACCCAGATTATTTTATGTAATTAAGATCTTGGATTTCTTCAACAAAGAAGTTAAAATTTTTTTTCACAACTCTGAAGTTTAAACAATGAGGTTGAATCTAGTGAACAAGAGTAGTAGTAGTTGAGTCAAAATTATAGCTGCTTAGCTTCAAGTAAACTGTGAAATGCTACAGTTTATTATATTTGTTTTCCAGTGAAAGATAATGTAGCACCAATGTTTCTAATAACTGAGCTTAAAATATGTCAATATTTTATCTTAATTCCTTTTTTATTTTTTAAAGAAATAAAACTTTCCAGAAATAGTTAAATCCCCCTATAGTATACCTCTCTAATCTCATTTTTCTTCCTCTTTCCTTCCCTGTCAGTATACTTTATCCTGAGTTTAGTAGTTAGCATTTTCCTGGATAATTTTATACTAGAACATTATTTTGTATGTTTATAGACTTTATATAAATATATACTTGCATTTTCACTTAGCATTGTTTTCGATATGTGTCCATATTTATACCTGTGGTTCAGGTTCATTCATTTTAACTACTTTTATTAGATATTATATGATAACTGGTATCATACAATAAGTATATATAAATACGTATATAATCTGTAAAAAATTACTCATTTTCACATTGATGGACATTTAGGTTATTTTTTATCTTTCATTATTATATACAGTGCCCAGTGAACATTATTGTGTATGTCTCCTTGTGCACACACATGAAAGTTATGCTTAGAAATGGTATTGCAGGGTTTAAAGTATGCCTTGACTATTACTCTTAACCTATTTGCCCTTATTAACTCTGGGTTTAAAGGTATGCCTTGACTATTATTCTTAACCTATTTGTTCTTATTAACTCTAAAAAAGGTTTCCTAGGTTATTATATAGGTTTTCATAGATAATACTTGTCCAACTGGTTAATACCAGTATTTGGTGATAGGAGAGAAGATTTGGATGCCGATACCACTATAAGTGAGTGAAAGGATATCTACAGCATAAATATGATTAGATGCCAGCCAAAAAAATAGAGGAGGAAAAGGTAAAATAAGCCTTTACTTTTGGCTTAATGTGAGGTAACTTCATTTTTAGGTCATAGTAACCCTCTTGCTGGAATGAGATGAGTTAGAAGTAACGTAAGTATTAGCAAGATGAAACTCATTTTCTTAAGTCAGTAAAGAATAAAAAAGTTTGCAGTCTAATCTAGAAGTAATTGAAAAATTTCTCCAAATAGAGATTGAGAGTCTCTCCAAATAGACTCTCCAAAAGTTTAACCTATTGCTTCTCAAACATTAACATGTACACAAATTACCCAGGGGTCTCTATATATACTTATATAACATTTTATTTATATATATAATGTATAATACATAGAGCAATAAATATATTTTGTATATATGCAGTGGGTCATGATATAAAATTTATTTCTTACTGTGGTAAGTGATCAAATGTTTTAAAAACAATGTTTTATATAACAACTAAAGGCAGTTAATGATTTTAGTCTTACCAATAATAACATTATATTCTTGCTTAACCTTATTACAGAGCTAGAAGAGATTATGTTAGAGATCAGAGTGTGGGGTGGATTTCTCATTTTGCTTTTTATTAGAATGCGGAGAGTAAAGGAATGAGAGACCAGAGATTGGATCTTCAGAGAAGAGCAGTAGAAACCAGTGATGATGACCTCATCCCATTTGGAGACCGACCAACAGTGTCTCGGTTTGGTGCCATCTCTCGAACTACCAAAACAATATATCAGGGTGCCGGCCCAATTCAGGCTATGGCACCTCAGGGAGCTCCCACAAAATCTATTAACATTTCGGGTAAGAATCTCAGAGGTAAGCTGATATAGGGGGTTCTTATTCATAGCTACTAGGATTACCCTACTCCCCATTTACTATCGGTGCTTTCAATAATCTTCCAAGGAAGCAATTTTCAAACTTTCCATGGAATTATCCCTTTAAGAAAGGTAATTCTAGGCCGGGCGCGGTGGCTCACGCCTATAATCCTAGCACCCTGGGAGGCTGAGGCAGGCAGATTGCTCAAGGTCAGGAGTTCGAAACCAGCCTGAGCGAGACCCTGTCTCTACTAAAAATATAAAGAAATTAATTGACCAGCTAAAAACATATATATACAAAAAATTAGCCGGGCATGGTGGCGCATGCCTGTAGTCCCAGCTACTGGGGAGGCTGAGGCAGTAGGATCATTTGAGTTCAGGAGTTTGAGATTGCTGTGAGCTAGGCTGACGCCACGGCACTCACTCTAGCCTGGGCAACAAAGGGAGAATCTGTCTCAAAAAAAAAAAAATGAAAGGTAATTCTAGGTGTCTAAACTAAAATTAAATGTCTGCATATAAAGATTGCCCAGGTTCTTCTTTTTTTTCCAAGTATCGTGATTGCTGCTATTAAAAATTCTTATTATAGTGCTCGCTTCAGCAGCACATACACTAAAATTGGAACAATACAGAGAAGATTAGCTTAGCCCCTGCGCAAGGATGACATGCAAATTTGTGAAGCGTTCCATATTTTTCTCTAACCCTTCTAAGCAAGAGGCAAAGATATAAAATGTAACCAAAATGTCAAAAAAAACACCCAAAAAACATAACAAAACAAACAACAAAAACTGTTTATCTGGTGGGGGACGGGGGATGGGGGATGGGTGTGTACTTACATAATGAGTGTGATGGGCACCACCTGGAGGATGGACACGCTTGATGCTCAGACACGGCGGGTGGAGAAGGGAGGGATGACAAGGGCAATATATGTAACCTTAATAATATTTGTACCCCCATAATATGATGAAATAAAAAGAGGGGAAAAAATTCGAACAGAGGAAAAAAATAGACTGAAGTTTCAGTGGAAAAGAAACAACAAATATCAGCACATGATTACCATCTTGGTAGATAATAATCTTTCAGACAGCTGTGTGCATAATATGCCTATGCCTTTTATTATGAGTACCTTAAAAGAAGAATCAAACCTATTAATTACATCATACCACAATAAATCATTCTCTTACAGATTACAGTCCATATGGAACCCACGGTGGCTGGGGAGGTTCTCCATACTCACCTCATCAAAGCATACCTTCTCAGGGACACTTCAGTGAGAGGTATGAGTCGTTCATGTAAAAACCTTTAAAATGATTCAAATTTTCTTACTTTGTTTTTCTGGTCGGTAATATTTTAACACAATAAAACTTCAAAATTGGCCGGGCGCGGTGACTCACGCTTGTAATCCTAGTACTCTGGAAGGCCGAGGTGGGCGGATTGCTTGAGGTCAGGAGTTCAAAACCAGCCTGAGCAAGACCCATCTCTACTAAAAATAGAAAGAAATTAATTGACCAACTAAAAATATACATAGAAAAATTTAGCCAGGCATGGTGGCACATGCCTATAGTCCCAGCTACTCGGGAGGCTGAGGCAGTAGGATCACCCGAGCCCAGGAGTTTGAGGTTGCTGTGAGCTGGGCTGACGCCACAGCACTCACTCTAGCCTGGACAACAAAGTGAGACTCTGTCTCAAAAAAAAAAACTTCAAAATTTATTCCCTGTGTTCTTTCTCACCAAAGGGAGAGAATATCCATGTCTGAAGTGGCCAGTCATGGAAAACCCCTTCCATCTGCTGAGCGAGAACAGCTACGACTGGAATTGCAGCAACTGAACCACCAAATTAGTCAGCAGACCCAGCTGCGTGGACTAGAGGTACCAGCCTATAGATACTTTTTTATTCCCATTTTTAAGGGTTCTCAGAGATTTTAAGCAGAGGAACTTTTGAGATAGTGTGAGCATAAAACTTTAAGGTCTGTTTCTTAGGAGTTAGATTAGGTGTCCATTCTTCAAAGAATTCAGTACTGGGTTCAGTTCTGGGACAAGAGAAAACTTAGAATTTCTCCTGCCTGAGAATAAAAAACAGATTATATAAATAAAGTTTCCCAGTAAGTGCTTATGCTCCCATATGGCACATTTAAGTTTAAGGTCAACATATGCTTGTAGCTCTAGGATTTTTTTTTTTCATTTCTTTTATTTCCTTTAATCCTTAGCTTTTGTGAATCTTAGAAAAGTAGAAGCTTTGAACTTTGACTTAAATAAAAGTGCCTGTGTAATAAACATAATAGTAAGACCTTTCATTGTCCATGATAGATAGGTTGGGCAGGTGGTATTGTCCACCTCTTTTGATTGAAGGATATAAGTTTTAGAAAACGTAATTAAGGAACTTTTGAAATCCCTTAACTGTCATATAGGAAGACAAGGTTTTGTTTATATCACTCTTTACAGTGAAACATATTCTTCGAATATGGAAAACTAAAGACATTTAGTGGTAAATACATTGCTCCTTTCTGGAGAAAGAAATGGTACTGTTAGAACATTAATCTTTATCTTCCTACCATAATCTTTAATAATAAGTAAGGCTTTGCTTAGGGAGAAAAATCATAACTAATTTTATCTTAGACTTTCTTATTAGAAAGACCAGTAGGAGATTGTTTTTGGAACACATATGGCTTGTGCTCCTATGTAAGCATTTAGGTTTAGAAATTTTTAAAAATCTATGTAATGTTTATATTTTGTCTACTTTTGCCATTGCTTTATTTAAATTGGTTCAACATGTCTTGATTACTACTCTAAAAACCAAATGCTGTGCTTGCTTACGTTAATCTTTATTTCATTAACTTTTTTAAGATTTAGACATTCAACCCTGTAAGGCATTACCCTTTGTCCTCAAATTCATGGTTTTTTGTCTTTGAGTTTCTATCCAATAAGAATATCAGTATTATTTGGAAGCTCACTATAGATAAAAGTCCCTGACACTACTGCCACTACTGAGGTTTCATTGAAATAAATTATACGAATTACTTCAGAGAAAATTAACAATAAAAAAAGAGGGGGAAAGATGCACACTTATAGTAGACTTCGCCTTCAAATAAGAAAATAAAAAAGAGCCATTTATACCTAAGATGAAATTACTGTTCACTAAATTTAAACCTATGTTTTGCTTTTTTTATTTAAGTAGTACTCAGAGAAACAGATGATGGTGCCTTACAGTTGAATTATTTTTATTGTACATACCTGGGTGATAAGCTACTTGAGGCTGTGTTCTAGAATTTGGCCTGGTTATTCTAGACGTGGTGTGAAGCCTGTTGAGTTGTGTATATGCTTGGCTTTATGCACTAGGCGGTTAGTAACAGGCTGGTGTTACAGAGGGAGGCAAACACCCTGGCAGGCCAGCCACAGCCCCCACCACCACCTCCAAAATGGCCTGGAATGATCTCAAGTGAGCAGTTGAGCTTGGAACTGCACCAAGTGGAAAGGGAAATCGGGAAGAGAACCCGGGAACTGAGCATGGTAAGTGTTATAGTGGGAAAAGAGGGGAAGGATGAAGTCTTTCATGTGGTTGTGTTACAGAATGCATGGTTCTAGAGTCATCACTCCAAGTCACTGATGAGTGATTAACATTTAGAATAATTCTCATGAAGATGAGCTACCTCAGTATTTATCTTTCCTCTCCTCATTGCCATTTGGGTTCGGTGTGTTCTTACGATTCTTCATTAACTTGTAGGGAAAACAAGGTAGTTAATGGAAGTTCTTACATTTCTATTTATCATACTGATTAGGGAAGCAGATGGGATGGTGTTTACTATTTTGCAATACCATCTTTGTTATGTAAAGATATATTTACCAAATAACATTCTGGTTTTTGTAGCCTTTAAGTTATTGATGACCTATTCTTTGTTATGAGTGGATACACAATCTGCACATTCTTTCCTGTGGAACTGTATCCATGAATATACTTGGGATTTGCTTCATAGTGCACAAACATTCATTTCAGTAAAAAATATTTTTATTTTTGGAGACAGAATCTTGTTCTGTCACCCTAGCTAGAGCACAGTGGCGTCATCATAGCTCACTGCAACCTCAGACTCTTGGGCTCAAGTGGTACCTCCTGCCTCAGCCTCCCAGAGTGCTAGGATTGCAGGCCACCTTGCCGGGCCCATTTTGAATTTTGAATCTTAAGTGATTAAACCTTTCCCTTGGGTTGCTTGGTATTTGACTTTTTGTTGCATAGTTTTTATACTTTTTCTAAGCAAATAAATAGGGTATGTAGTTTTTCCGCTTATTGTACTTCAGCTTTTTCTAAGTCATTGGTATTTTGGGTTTGGTTTTATTTTCTTTTGTTTCTTTTAAATCACTGTTTTTTCCTGTGAGATTTTTCCATGTTAGCTTTAGGCATTCTTCCCCTTATTTTTCAGCTTGGTTAGCGAGCAAGTGGTTTGTCCTCTGTTACATTTTTGTGTATTTTTCTGTTAGTCTGCCTATTTCTTTGGCCATTTTACAAAACTAAGTATGGTTTCTGGATCATCAGTTTGTTTGTATTATCTGTATTTGCTCTCCCGTTAGTACCGTTAAATAGATAACTGGTTTTATTTCCTTCTCTTTCAAAGGAGAACCAGTGTTCTCTGGACGTGAAAAGCAAATTGAATGCTAGTAAGCAAGCAGAGAATGGACAACCAGAACCACAAAACAAAGTTCCAGCTGAGGACCTTACATTGACATTCAGGTAAAGAAAAGGACATTTTCATAGTCTTATGGAACTATACTTAAAAGAGGAATAATTATATTATCTGATCATACCAGAAGTACCCTTATAGGTGTGATTTGATTTTTAAAATATCATTATTTTATGTACATTGAGAAAAGAATATTTTTGCATAAATCTAGAAGTTATAAAACTTATCAGAACAGATCCAAGGTTGAATTATCTGTTAATTGTCCTTTTTTGGACAAATGAAATTTTCTGGTTTCATTTGCTTCTACCTTTTGTTTTATAATTTATTTTAAATACAGCCTTATATCTTGAAATCATGAAAGAAATAAATGCTCAATGTAAAAAAAGAATCTAAAATTAAAAAAAAAAAAACAGAAAATAAAAGCACCTCCCTTTGTTTTAAATATGTTATAAAAAATAAGCTGTGGGAAATTGAAAAATTTTTTTTTTTTTTTTGAGACAGAGTCTCACTTTGTTGCCCAGGCTAGAGTGAGTGCCATGGCATCAGCCTGGCTTACAGCAACCTCAATCTCCGGGGCTCAGCGATCCTACTGCCTCAGCCTCCCGAGTAGCTGGGACTACAGGCATGCGCCACCATGCCCGGCTAAGTTTTTGTATATATATTTTTAGTTGGTCAATTAATTTATTTCTATTTTTGGTAGAGACGGGGTCTCGCTTAGGCTGGTTTCCAACTCCTGACCTTGAGCAATCTGCCCGCCTCGGCCTCCCAAAGTGCTAGGATTACAGGCGTGAGCCACCGCACCCGGCCGGAAATTGAAAATTTTTAAAAAGGACAATTTAAAGACCACCTGCAACTTCAATACCCAGAGATAATCAATGATTTTGATCAATAATCGATCATTTTGATCTATATCTTTTCAGTCTTTTTAAAGTGTATGGGCATTTAGCCTCTTGCTGATTTTTTACAAACCCACCACCCTGGTTTTTAGTTTGGTCTATCCTGTATTCTTCTACAGGTGTGGAAGAGTACATATCAACTACCATGACCAACCCTGCAGTAAATAATATTATAATTAAATCTTTATTTGCACATCTTTAATTATTTTCTGAGAATATTTTGAGTCTTTTGAATGCAGAGTCCTGAATTGCCTTCCTGATGATGTATAATAAGAATTTCTGATGCCTATTGCTTTCAGCTGTGGGTTTTGGCTATTTTATTTTATTTTATTTTATTTTATTTTATTTTATTTTATTTTATTTTATTTTTTTTTTGACAGCAGCCTGTATCTGTAGGTTTTGGCTATTTTAAATCCATGCATTATCCTGGGCCCAAAATTATTTCTTATACTGGTAAGCCTGCTAAATTAGGAGTCAGTACTTTTCCTTAAAGTCCAGATAGTAAATATTTTAAGGTATGTCTTTGTTGCGACTCTGAATTCTGCCCTATGGTGTGAAAGCAACAATAGACAATATGCTAAACAAATGGGAAGGCTATATTCCAGTAACACTTTATCTATAAAAATAGGCAACCAGCAAGCGAGGCACAGTGGCTCATGCCTGTAATTCCAGCACTTTGGGAGCCTGAGGTAGAATGATCACTTGAGGCTAGGAGTTAGAGATGACCAGCCTGGGCAACATAGCAAGACTCCATCTGAAAATAAAATAAAATATAAAATGAAAAAAAAAATAAAATAAAGCTAATTAGTTTTGGTGGTGGACGTCTGTAAGTCTTAGCTACTTGGGAGGCTGAGGGCCAAGGCAGGAGGATTGCTTGAGTCTAGGCGTTCAAGGCTGCAGTGAGCTATGATCATGTCACTGAACTCCATCCTAGTTGACAGAAGGAGACCCTATCTCTAAAAATAAAAAATAATAATAGACAACTGGCTACCTTTAGTTTGCATACCCTGTGCTAAAACACAGTAGAGGAGCTGTAAATTAAAATTTGGAAGCAATTCATATATTTTTCCATAATGCTAAATGATAAGCCTTTGTTGATTTTATTCTGCTAATAAATCATTTTCTCTCTCTTTTACTAAAATTCCAACTACTTTTTTATTTTAATGTTAACAGTGATGTACCAAATGGATCAGCCTTGACACAAGAGAATATCAGCCTCCTATCAAACAAGACCAGCTCTCTGAACCTATCAGAGGACCCCGAGGGAGGAGGAGATAACAGTGACTCCCAGAAATCAGGAGTTACTCCCAGTTCTGCTCCCTAATATGAGGAGTTGTACTTTTATCTTCTGCTCCTAATCAATTTGTAGGGCATAGGGGTAGGAGAATGGATAACTTCTAAACTTTTTCTCTAAGAATGGTCAGAGAAATCCAGGAAATGCACCAGAGGCAATGTGCACAAACACCACTACTAAAAACAAACCCTGCACATAGTTCACATTAATGCATATTTTTAATTTAAAGAAAAAGAAAATTAGCAGTATCTGCAAGCAATTCAGATTAAATTTGTTTTTGTTCTGTGAATGAACTTTATTTTAATAACTTTGGACGCCTTGGATCCAGGGCTTTAAAAAAAAAGAAGATATTATATATACACTCTGTTTGATTAATTGTATGATCTTAATGAAGTAGGTTTCTCTTTGTATTTTGGTATTATTACATACCCAGTGTATAATTCCTTACCCCCAATCCTGTCCAACTCTTACCACCCCATAAACTTAAAACAGACAAAAAGAGAATTCTTTGGTGCTTGAGAAACAAATAGACAGTAATAGACTGAGTTATTAGAAAATGTGCAGCAAACCAGCTTTTCCTGGAGTTGTTATTTGGAATTTTTTTTTTCTTTCTGGATCACCAACTTCATAGATAGATATGTTTTTCTTATGACATTGAAATTTTTTTTGTTGTTTAGAAGGGTTTTATTTTTTATTTTCGGCTTTTCAGAGAGATAATTACCAATTTTTGAAGTCCCCAGTTCCATATTAAAGATCCTTTGCATTCTTTTAATGTCATGAGAAAGTCAATTTCACTGTTTAGTTGTTTAATTAGATTTAAAGGGAGATTAAAAATGAACTGTAATTTATTGATTAGTGCTGAAAATACACGATTGGTGTATTACCTGTGTTCAACTCATAGTTGTAAATTTGGAGCTTTGCTTTCCAAATTAAACGTTTGCTGAAAACTTAGAATGCTCAGAAACCAGGATAGTCAACCATATTTTAAAACTGCAACACTTGATTTGAACATACAATGAATAGAGCAACATTATTTGAATGGATGTTTTTATTTTACTCTCAAAACCTGAAAGTATAAAATTAAATCTCTATATACTAGAGCCCCTGGTTTCAAAGAAATTAAGCAAATATGACCCGCTTAAGTCTTAACGGATAGTTTATGAATTGATTACTTGTTGCTGCTCAGATACCTTGACATCAGTTTCCATAGACTTTGGCTTTCCAGTATTGAAAATGTTAATTCATGATAATTTTGAAAAGAGGAAAACTTTTATTATTTAATTCTGCTGCACATATTCTGATGCCACATGTCTATGCCTAACTAAGGTCCTGTAAAACATGTTTAATGGGGATTGTTTTATATAGTTGCCCTCTCCATCCTTCTCTTCAATTTTGTCAATTTCCCTTTCTGGATTATACTACTAAATCAGAAAGCACTGGTTATGTAATAAGTTACTGCATTGCTTTGGTTGGGTAAAAACAAGAGTTTATATTTTTCTTGTTTCTTATTTTCTTAACCCTTAACTCCTGCTGAGGTCATAACAGCCTCAGTCTAAGCTCTATGTCCATCATACTGTTAACTGAAACAAATGGGGGTGGGGGTGGGAAGGGTAATACAGTCCTGCCATTGCCTACCAGTAGGAGAGTCCAAACAGAACACTCTTTTGAGTAGCAATTATTTAATTTGCCCAGTCAAGGCACCGTGTTTATATACTATTTCACATTGAATTTGATTATGCCCTACAGACCTGGCTGGTCAAGGATTTGATATACACATATTGGCTTGGGATTCGAGCTTTCTTTTTTATTTAAATAAAAATTTATATATATATTATATATATACATATATACATAGCTATATCTGTATATATATTGGGTATGTTTTAAGGATTTTTTCGCATGAGCGCAGCTGTTGCGATGAAATGACTGATTGGGAGGTAGAAGCACTGAATGAAGGTGTGAAGCATTTTTTCAATTGATATATTACACATTTTCCTTTTTTAAAAAAATATACTTTTGCTTTTTTTGGTTTTTTTAAATTGCTTTTGTTTGCTTTTTTGACTTTTCCTTAAAACCCTCCTACATTTACACTGTAAATGCTTATTTTTATTGGGAGAAGGAAAGAAACTTTGGTATGTCTGGCAGAGTCCCAAGATTTTTCATTTCTCTGCATAACAAGAAAAGACAATATTACTAGTCTCCAACCTTCTGTAGGCAGATTTGGGCAGATCTCCTTTGAACATGTCAGATAATTCATAAATTTTAGAAGCAGTTGGTTCACTTTAGAACTCAGAATGATACTGGTATTGGAAGAGAATTCATGGGTATTGATTTTGTTAACATTTAGAATAAAAGTAAAGTTTCATCTTGGGTATCTGTTGATACCCATAATAACTAAATTTCTTTCATTCTTGTTCTTATTCTACCTTTAAATAAACTTGTTCTTGCTTGTACCATTTTGATTTTGTGAGGGAAGCAGGAGCAGGGATTGATTTATATGGTATTCCTATTCTGAACAAAACCAGAAAAGCCACTATGTAGACCTGATATAAAATAGTATCTTTCTCTTTTTATGTATTTTCTTTTGGGGAAAAAATCCCTTAAATTGTAGCCTCAATTCTAGTTGTACTCCTCCAAGGGCCCCACACTGTAGAGGTAACCTGGTTGGGTAGAAAATCAGAAGAATGGTACCATTATCTTTTTTAAATTGGTCATTCTGCCTTACCTAGTGGAAATTCTTGCAGCTTTCCTAATGCTCAGCAGTAGGTTTAAGAATTTACTAAAACCCTAAAACTTTGGGGTTTTGTTTTTGTTTTTGTTTTTCCTTTTGTCTGTGATATGATGAGCCTGTAAGAGTAAATGTCCTGTTGGGGCATATAACTACTTGACTTTTTAATTGCTTTTTTTTTCCCCAATCAAAATCTGAAAGATAGTGATTTTTCCCTGGCGTTTTAATTTTCTTTGTTTTTTAGAGACAGTTAAGAGATGAAACCAATCAGATAGGAAATACAGTTTTTATGCTTTCTACTTATAAAATATTACTTTCTTTTGAAGATGACTTTATTTGCTTTTCACTGAATTCAAAAGCAAGAATTAGATATCTCAGATGAACATGAACAATTTTGAAAGGGTTATGGTAGGAGTAATAAGCATTGCGTTTACTCTTATTAAAATAACAAAACTAGGATTTTATTATAGTGAAGAATATAAAAGTACTTTGACTTACTCTTTTTTCAAGAGGTCTCTAGAAGAAGGTAGAAGAACTGAGAATAAGGCATCTAGATTCAGTTTCCTGTTTTACGTATAATTCTTTTGCCTAATTTATATTGTCACAAGATAAGTCTAATAGCTATGAAGTGACCAAAGATCCATTCCTTGTTACTTTTCTAATTAAAAGAACAATTAATTATAGTATAATTATAGTATAGGTTTCTAGTAATATTATTCAAAGGATAAGATACTATTCCTAATGCCAACTACAAATTTCATCTAATCAGAATGTATAAATATTTGTTTGGTACAGCATTAATGTGGGTGATTCCCTTCTCCCATCTTATTTCCCTTCCCTTCTCCTATTCTTTCCCATGTATTTATTCTTTTGCCTAAAAGACAGAAAATTGATATGATTCTCATTTGCTACTTTGAGTATATAACTCCATAAGACTTTCCAGAGGTCTTCAGATTTCAAGCTCAAAGTTTAATCCTTAGTTTTTCTGTGAATGTCTTTTTTTTTTCCTGGCCCTTTTTCATCCTGCAATTTCCCCTTGACTTACCCACTGCCCTCCCCAATCTGCAACAGTGACAGTTTGCTGCCTCAAAACAGAGCATTCAAATGAATTCGCTTAGCCAATAACTTCTGTGAAGTTGCCTTTTCTAATGGTGTTATTACTCAGTGATGCACAAATGTGGTATTTGCCCTACTGGTAGGCAAACAAAGGTCTGGTTAAGAATGGTAACCTGCTGTTTTCTTTAAAGGAGAGCCAAAGACTTGTGCTTTACTCTGTTTCGGTTTTGGGGGAAGTCCTAGCTATTTTGATTGTGAACCTTTTAGTATTTGTGAGTTGATTGTACTATGTAAGTAGATTTATCTAAAGTTAACTGTTAAAGTTAGCTAGCCTTATAAAATGTAAAAGTAATGAAAATTCATCAGTTTTCTCTAAACCAGTGAATGTCATCTTTTATAATACTGTGTATAAACAAACATCTGTTCCCTTACCCCCCACTTTTTTTGAGGTTATCTTGTTATGGTAACATCATCTGTGTTTTTATGGGGTTTTTTCCCCCTTGTGCCTAAAGGACAATCTACTATCACTATGATCAAGTCATGAGTCTGGATAAAAGGAATTCTTGAGCATGTGACTGGTGAGAAATAATGAACGGTAGTATAATGCATGTTCAGATTATGTTAAGTTTCAGAGAAAAATAGATTCTTTTCACTAAAGAAGTATTTATTTAGTTGCTGTTACTTATATACAAATGGTGGTGGGTGGCAGTCTCACCATCATTTTTCCACTTTAGTTTTGCTCATCTTGATGAATTGAGTAAAGGTGTCATATATAAAATCTATGTGTAAAAAGCACCTGTAATTATTTATATTTCATTAAAGACAGTGGCCCAATTACTGTTTAGGAGAAATTCATAACCTGCCTGGAAATTAACTGCAGTGTTTAGATTTTCACCCTAAAAAGAGTACAAGTGTATTAAATTTTTAGTTGGTGATACATGGTTACAGTGTTGCAAGGTGATCTCCTTCTGAAAAATCTGCTTATCCTTTTTTAAAAAATTAGAACTACTAAACTAAAGCAAATTTTACTTTCATTATTAGGGATTGAACAAGCAAGCAATCTACTACTGTCTTCATTTTAGCTGAGTGCCCATTTTGCTGATCCACATTCATACCTTTCTACCTTGGACAGATATAACTTTTTATATTTATTTGTTGCTTCAGCTCAGCTTTATGAAATTTTCCTGCTGAAATAACTTATTGGGAGTTGTAGGTAGATTGTAGTAAATATTTTTAAAATTTCTCAATTCAGCTTTTATGAGCCACTTCAAAAAGAAAGCTGTTTTTTGTCAAAAGTTACTATTAATTGTAGTAAATACAGCTTAAGATTCAGGTTTTTGAGGTAATAGAGTCTAATTGATAAGTAATACTAGCTATAATGTTGATAAAGAGTAAGAAACTGCTACCACCAGGAATAAGTAACACTTTTTAATAATAAATATGGTCAATACTGCACTGAACAAGTGGGTAAAGAGCCCTTTGAAAGCCTGTCGTGATAAAGGGACTTACCTCACCACTGGAATCCTTGTTTTCAGAGCCTCTGGATTTTCAGCCAAACACTGAATTTCCCCTAAACTTTATCCTTGAGCAAAACATCCTTAGAGTAACAACCTTTATTTTCACAGGAAAATAAGGCATAATAACCCAAGGGGGAGAACTTAAACCTCAAGACAATATTATGTCCAAAAACGAGTATTTAGAAAAATAAAATCCTGTGGAGTTTGTTATTCTAATGTATATTATCTACTAGATAATATGACTTGTTTTCTTATATTGAGGTCTTACTGTTTCTGCTTGGTTTTGGTTTTTGTTTTTAACTCTAAGCAGACAGAGCTCACAAGTCTTTGGCATCCGTTTTAGGTTGTACACTCAGAGTCATCTTATAACTGGAAACTGTCAGGTGGTCCCCACCCCAGTGAGTGTATGAAAGGGTCAAGAAAAGGATGGAAACAAACTATTAGGTGGATAATTGGTTTCCTGATTTTTTTTTTTTTTGGCCTGATTTTTTTTAATGGCCATTTATTAGTGTAATCTGTCTCCATTGATTGGTTGCCATTCCCACAATACCCAAACTATCCCATAAAATATCCGCATGACTTAAAGGCATTTAATGCTTTTGCTTATCATTTTTATATCCTCTATTCAACTAAGACACTGTCATGAGTTATTTTCCAAATGTATTGTTGCCTGAATTTTCACACTTTTCCCCTTTCATTCTTTTTCTTCTTCCACCTCCTGGGAATGAAGAGAACTTGAAAAAAGTTTTTATTTTATTTTATTCATTGGTCCATGGTCTTTATTATCTTATGATGAATCTGTGACTTTTTGGAACAAGAGCAATGGAAAAAGTGCGTTAAGGTAATGAACAAAACCTTTCACACACTTAAACATTTTCCAGTTGTAAGATTCCTCTTTGTGTGTGTGATTTCTTCCCCTTGTTACCCCTGCCACCCTTTCTTCCTGACTGGTCAATTTGGTCTTTAGGCTCATACCAGTCTCCCCGAGACATTCTGCAGTCATTATCACCTTTTTGGGTGGATTTTATTTTTTTTTAATAACTTTTTAACATTGATGCATATTTGCTTGGGATAGAGCTTGTGTAATTTACCAATCGTATTGATTGTATGTGATTGTGCCCTGCAGAGGTATATTTAACAAGACAAAAATAATCTAGGTTAATAAAGGAGCCCATGAGATTTGAGTCAGGTTATAAGTGACTTTATGAAATCACTTACAGTTTTGGATAGTGAGAATTTATATCTCCTGTTCTTACAAATCAGTGCTAGACAAAATACTATTTTTAAAAAAGTTTTCTTGCATTTCTGTTCTTTTTAATTGCCTCAGCTCCCTATTCTTTCTTGCCTGCCTCTACTTACCTGTTTGGAGATAAAATATATTCAGCCTTAAAGTTACATCTGATTTTTAAATTGCTGAATTTTGTGAAATTTTGCTTTCCATGTGATTTCAACTTTTAAAAAAAGTGAAGAAAATATAGTTAATGAGTTAGAATTTCACAAGCTGTGAATAATTCCTTAGGATCTGACAAACTGTGAAATCTGATTTGAAGACTTTATCTTCTGAAAATTCTTTTGGAATAGGAAAAAGAACCCTGTTTGAAATGGACCATTTTCCTGTTGTTTTTAATCTGTTTAATATTTTCAATTTTTAAACAGCCTTCAAAGCAAGTGAGGTGGAAAAAGAAAGAATAGTAAGAAGATGCTTAGGGCAACAGAACTCTGGATCTGAATAATTACATATTCTACTTGTTGCAGATTTTTGAGAGGATTAGGGCCATCTTTTTCAATTTTATATTATTTGTGTGCATGTTGTTTATATCAGAGATGCCACGTTTTGTTAAAATGCTGTTTCCTTTCTTTATTACCTTGGAAACTGACTCAGCCTCATGTTGCTCCTAATTAGTGTTTAAGGCTCCCATGAGTTGCAGATAAAAGGATTTATTTTAACATGTAGAAGGAGGTGATTCACCTTTTGGATTGTAAATATATGAAAGTGTCTACAAGGTCTTTATCTGCTTTCTGTCAGCATTTATATTAAATGATAATTTAATGAGGAATGTGTAGTCTTTTTTTGTGAATGAGTCTGTGCCATCTTATTTTAATCTTATTCTTACACCTTTTTAATGTAGGGGTTTCTTTAGGTGGAAAATGAAGTGGCTAATTTGTATGTAGTAGTTGCCAATTTTGTGTAGGCATTATTGGAATTCATCTAAACTTAAATATACCAACAGTGCAAATTTCTTCATTTTTTGTACAATGATAGCACATTATGAGTGAAGATAGTGGTTCTGAGATACTAGTATCAATTTTCAGTGAGACTTCATGGCTGTATCTTTCCTTTTTTTTTTTTTTTTTTTTTGAGACAGAGTCTCACTTCCCATGGCATCAGCCTAGTTCACAGCAACCTCAATCTTCTGTGCTCAAGCAATCCTCCTGCCTCAGCCTCCTGAGTAGCTGGGACTACAGGCATGCGCCACCATGCCCGGCTAATTTTTTCTATATATATTAGTTGGCCAATTAATTTCTTTCTATTATAGTAGAGACGGGGGTCTCTCTTGCTCAGGCTGGTTTCGAACTCCTGACCTCGAGCAATCTACCTGCCTTGGCCTCCCAGAGTGCTAGGATTACAGGCGTGAACCACTCACTGCACCCAGCCCATGGCTGTATCTTTCCATTCTTACTGACTTCTAATTGTCCTGAAATCCCTACCCAGTAATCATTCCTGGTATTTAGTGGAAAAATATAAGTTTATTGTCTCTTAGAAACTAATAGTTCAATGGCATGAAGAAAGCAAAAGGGAAAGGATTGTTCTAGAGTAAAAGAATTTACGAAATACAAACTCAAGTGCAACATGTGGGCTTTGTTTAGATCCTGATTTCAACAAAAATATAAAAGACATTTTTTATACAGCTACGGAAGTTTGATTAAGTATTGGGTATTAGGCCTGGCGCAGTGACTCACACCTGTAACCCTAGCTTTCTGGGAGGCCAAGGCACCCGGATGGATCACACAACGTCAGGAGTTTGAAACCATCCTGAGCAAGAGCGAGACCCCATCTCTACTAAAAATAGAAAGAAATTAATTGGCCAACTAAAAATATATGGAAAAAATTAGCTGGGCATGGTGGCACCCATGCCTGTAGTCCTAGCTACTCAGGAGGCTGAAGCAGAAAGATTGCTTGAGCCCAGGAGTTTGAGGTTGCTGTGAGCTAAGCTGATGCCACAGCACTCTAGCCCGGGCAACAGAGTGAGAGTGTCTCAAGAAAAAAAAAAGTATTGGGTATTAGATAATAATACCAAGGAATGCTGTTTTTGTTTAGTGTGAAAATAGCGACATGGTTATATAAGAAAAAAAATCCGCAGTTTTTAAAGATGTATAACTGACAATGGCTAGAATTTCCTTTAAAATAATAACTATTTTGAGCAATTAAGATGTCCATTGATACTATCTATATCTGTCCTCAAGGGAAGGAGCCACAGTAAAGAAATTTCAGAGAGTATATGAGAGATGGTAACTGCTGCAGCCATCTCTGAATGATTATAAAATCCAGAGTGGAAATTCCAAAACCAGACCTGCCATCTTTACCACTTACCTAATTCTGCCCTGCTCACAGACAATAGGGTACTTTCACACTTTAGGCTGAAACTCACAAAGACTAATATGAATGTTTTTTGTATGCATTACTGCTTCAATCCCAATAACCAGCTAATCTTCAGTAATCAATTATAATAGTTAATCCCTTTGCCTTCCAGCAAGGTGACTCATTCAGTAAATGGCTTCCATCCTTTTTTGGAACACCTAACATATAAAAAGTAAATTTGCTGACTACTCACTGACCACCCACTAACAGTGCTTACTAAAGCATAATAATTTATTGAGTATTCCCCATATGCACACCACTCTAGGGGACAAGGAGTTAAAAAATACTGTCTTTATCCTCAAGCTCTAATTACAGAACTTGACATGTACACAGTTTTAAGATAGTTAAAATCAATGGCAAAACACTAAACAGAATTAGCAAAGAATTATTCAATCACAGTTGTCCTCATAAGAGCAAGGAGATGTGAGACTATATACAAGGAAGACTTAACCTTGCCTGGCTAGTTGGGCTTCCCAGGGGAAGTTGCCTTAAAGATGAGACTTGAACGAACAATCATGGGAGAGGATGAGGAACGGTATTGAAGACTTGAGACTCCTGGTTAGAGAAAACAGAATGAATTCTCTGAGGGAAGAAAGAGTGTGAGTTGTGGAAACTGGAGGTAGGTCATTGAAGCTAGAATAGAAGGAGTGAGTTGGTAGTTTGAGATGAGGAAGATCCAGATCATGGAGACCTGTAGACCATGCTAAAATGTTTGATTTCAGTCTGAAGGTAAAGAGAATGCAAAGAAGTATGGCAAGCAGGAAAATTAAGGGACTAGATTTGTGCCTTTGGGGAGCCAATCGTAATCTCAAAAGACACAGTCCTGGCTGCCATAATCCCAAATGTTGAAATCCTTAAAGATCAAAATCCCAAAGTTATAATTCTGGAAAATAAAATTTTAAGAGTTCTTTAAAAGGCATTTATTTACATTTTTAAAAGTGGTTATTTGAGAAACATGACAATATTTTATAAGCCAATTTCCACAGTAAAATAAGCAATGATAACATTTTTGCAAGCATAAACACTCAAGTATACTAATGACAGTCACCCGGGTGTAACAGTTACAAACAGACGAACTGTATTCGTAAATAAGTCAAAAAGCTGAGACACAGTGCATATCACTGGCTGGTAACTGCGCCCAGCCTGACATACTGGGAGGGACAACTCAGATGAGATCAGTCAAAACCACAATGGGTCACCACTGCATATGCAGTTCCCCAAAGAGCTAAGATACCAATAAATTTTATCTTTCACAATTGCAGATGTACAAAAAGGACGCCTCTTCATTTATTGAGGAAGCTTAAACGTTTCTTATGTTTAGAACTAGGGAGACTGATGGTGTAACTCAGTCCAAGGCAGCCTCAGGACCCAGGGAGCTATTGCTTTAAGTCTTGGAGTCCAAAGGCCAGTGAGGCTGTAGTTCTGATGTCCAAGGAAGCAGAAGAAAAGTCTGTTCCAGCTCTTAGAGACCAGTTTGCCTCCTGTGTTTTTTCTGCGCGCTTGGCGGGTTGGATGGTACGCGCCAGACTTGGGTGCAGATCTTCCTCCCCTATTCCATTCCGACCCATACACTGATCTCCTCTGGAGACACCCTCACAGACACACCCAAAATAATGCTTTATTAGGTTTCTGGGTATTCCTTAATCCAATCAACTTGACACCTAAAATTAAGTCCACCCCTTGTCAACTTGACACCCATACTTAATCCTTAAACCATACTTAATTTCCAAAAACAGACAATAACAAGGTAGTTCCACCTAACATGACGCAACTATATCCTGTGATTGTGATTTTCAGTATTTTAGATATTAAGAGATTTAGACAAAAGATTTTGATCTTTAAGGATTTCAACGTTCAAGATTGTGTCTTTGGGGATTATAATCCAAACACATTTCCACCTCGCCCCTCAAGTGAACTTGGTTCAAATCTTGCAGCCCTTGAAAGACATGGGTAAAGAGGCACCAGTCACTCAACTGATTATCAAAACACTCTTGGCCTCGCTTTACCATGAGTTTCTTCCTGTTGCTTCTTGATCTGTCTGAACCATTTTCTATCTTTCCAGGGAACATTCTCCTACTACCTCTGCCTCAGTGCTCTGTCTTTTCTCTATTTCTCTATCACCACTTACAATTTCCTGAACTAATGTACAAGCAACAAGCGTGAACCCCACGCAACTCTCTCTTGCTCAACCTCCCAAGAATACCCGTGCTTAGTGTTTCTGTTCATACAAGGTGTCAATTCCTCCGGATAAGCATTTTTACTTTACTTATTAATCTTAGTTTTCTATTTGAGAGGAATTTAAAGTACTGTATTTCCTGCTTAATAAGTTAGCAAAACTACTCTGGACCTGGATTTCTTCAAACACAAATGTTTATTGAATACCTGGTACATTCAAGGCCCAGTGCCGTGTGCACTGGGCATGTTCAATAAATATTTGCTGTTTTGATTTGGTTTCCCTGAAGCCAAAACTGAGCTATGAGGATTTGGGCAAATTCCAATGAGATGCTTTGAGTCTCAGCTAAAAGCTGCCAAATGATAATGTAGGATTTATATTTATAAACTTTCTAATTTTACCTTAATTAAAATGTCATGTTTGCCTGGTAAACTGGGACCCAAGGGAGTTGCATACTCCTTGTTTTTTTGTGCTAGATATTTTGCCAGATTTCCATCGAAGTGTTAAGCTTTGAGTTACTCAGTAACCACAGCAGGAGCTGGGCCCTGCTATTTGTTCCCTGCCAAGGTCTTACTCTTGAGTCCAAAGAAAAGAACAGAACAGCCCAGGATATGAGGCAATGGACAAGGACCTGCTGAATTACCTACTCATAGAAGTTCCCAGTGAGACTAGAGGCAGGCTAAGGAAGGAGGAATTGTATTACTGACCTTGAAAGAAATACTAAAACAGAGAGGGTGATTAAATGCTACATTCTTTCCTCTCCGTGTTTCATCTTACCCACCCCGAAAGCAGCAAAGCACAGGGAGGACCTGTGAGCTCCTTCCAATCTTGTTTCCACTCAGAATAGAAAAAAAATAGTGAGACACAGACATAGGAAATCCTCTTTAAGAACTAATTTTTACCTGATAAAAGTTCTTAAGACATCTGCTTCCACTTCCAGAAATGATTAGAAGTATCCATGAAAAAACTTTTAATAATTTAGGGTAGGTTGCAGTGGTGCACTCTGGGAGGCTGAGGCAAGAGGTTTGCCTGAGGCCAGGAGTTCCAGACCAGCTGGACAACATAGGGAGTCTTTGTCTCTACATAAAATAAAAAATAGCTTGGCATGGTGGCACGAGCCTATCTACTCGGGAGGCTGAGGTGGGAGGCTTGCTTAAACCTGGGAGTAGGAGGTTGCAGTGAGCTGTGATCGCACCACTGCACTCCAGTCTGGGCAATAGAGCAAGAGAGACCCTGTCTCGATTAAAAATATATTTGTTTTATATTTAAATAAACAAAATTACTAAAACATCTTACAGAATACTTACGTTGTGTGTAAACACGCACACACATACAGACACAAATGAATGTGCCCAC